AAAAATATCCTGTGAGGATTAAGAACAACAAAAAAAAGATAAAGTGATATTAATCTTGCCCATAAGGACCTTCTAGTCAAATAAACAACCTACTGATGAGAGAAAGTGTCATAAATAAAACAAAACTTCTGAGTGTTCTCAGTGGGGGAGATCTGGCCTAGAAGACTTGGGAAGACTCTATAGAGGTGAGGGAGGGCAGGATGTGGGCCTGCAGAGATGGCAGGACAGACCTGGCTCAGTATAGGATAGAGGCGAGCAAAATCTGTGGGTCCCCATATTTGTTGGTCAGGGTGCCTGACAGGGATCAGCAAGCCAACCATGGACAGGTGGGGTTTGGGCTTGGGACAGAAAGTCTGGGGAGACTGGGTGAGTGGCTCAGAGAAATGTATCCTTAGAAACTCTTCTCTCTCTCTCTTCTCTTTCTGGATCAGGTGTTCCTTCTCCCAATTCTGGCAGCTGGGGTTCTTACCTGGGCCTTCTGAAATCGCCTGGCTTCCTTTTCACCTGATCAAATCCTTCATCGGTTCCCAGGGCCGGTTTGAGATGCTTTACCCAGAGGTTCCCCCATAGCAGGCAGAGCATGTCCCCACCACACACCCCACAAAGGGCTTTTGAACCAGAAGGCACAATTCTGCAAAGGTTTTCTGTAGCGCCATATATATATAATTTATTTTTTATTTTTTAACAGAGAGAAAGGGAAAGGGATAGAGAGCCAGAAACATCGATGGAGAGAAACATTGATCAGCTGCCTCCTGCACAGTCCCTACTGGGTATGTTCCCGCAACCAAGGTACATGCCCCTGACCAGAATTGAACCCAGGATCCCTGAGTTCGCAGGCCGATGCTCTATCCACTGAGCTAAACTGGCCAGGGCTTCTCTAAGAAAGCTAGAGAAGCTTACGTCATTCTCCATCCATCCCCTGGAATAGCAAGCAATTTGAAGGCCATGAATGATTTTTTTTTCTCCCTTCCACAACCCTAGTATGCACACATATACACACACAAGCTACCCCAGAAGTGGGCTCAGATTCCCCCTCCCCCCATCATTGACCTTACGAACGTAATTCGCCTTCACCATCTCCCACAACTGGTCCCCAGTACAATTTAGCTTTACACGAATCTTTGTTTGAATCAAAGCTTTACTACCTCCTTTTACTGTGTGACCTTGGGCAAGTTGCTTATCTCTGAAGGCACCATTTTCCTCCTTTGTATGTTGGGAATAATGCATGGCAGGGGGGAGACAAATGACAGTGATTAATGATTATTATTATCATTTCCCCAAGAACCAGTAAGATCAGATGGTCCTCAGAACTCAGGGTTGAGTTTCCATTTTCCTTCTCTTTTAATTCAGTCTTCTCCCATCTGCCTCCTGTTTTGTCCAATTTGGGTCTTTCCAGTCACCAGCCCAGCCTACCTTTTTTCCCCGAGGCCCGCCTTTCGCTTCTCCCAGAGAGCCCACGGGCAGCAGACTCACAGGCAGGTTGTCTGTGCCTTGCTCTTCATCCGTCAATGAAAATAGATTACAAAATCATTTGTTTCATTTGTTCTTGTTACCTTGAGGACTGTCTGAAATTCTTTTCTTTAGGAAGCTGTATTGGCATATTTCTGTGCTGGAGTCAAAGGCTGCGGCTGCGGCTTCACTGCAATTTAAATATTAATAAAACCTCCTAAACCTCTAGCTGTTTCTTCTAAAGCAGTCTGCTCCTAGGTTGCTAATATAATTTAACCTTTGTCCTTCGCTTTGTATTTGTTTCAAGGGCCATTTTGGAGTCAACTGAAGTCAGCTGCTGCCACCTTGGAGATAAGAACTAAGCCTTTAAAACCTTCGTTTTTCTTTCTTTCTTTTTTAAGTTGATTGGAGAGAGAGAGGAAGAAAGAGATATTTGTTGTTCCAAGTATTTATGATTTATTGGTTGGTTTTTACGTGTGCCCTGACTGGGATTGAACCTGCCACGTTGGCATATCGGGAAGATGATTCTAACCAAATGAGCTAGCTACCAGCCAGGGCAACCTTAGTTGTTTTTTTCAACAGCCCTAAGATTCATCTCTTACGGAGACAAAGAATAGTCCATAGGTAACACTGATAGATCCTCCCTTCTCCCAACTGATGGATGGAGAATGACGGAAGCTCCACCTGCAGCACGGATATTCCTGAGCATCTAACCAGGAATTTTATATTGACTATACATTGAACCACCAATCAGCACTTGCCAAATACCCTAAGGCCCGCCCCCCAGTCCTAAGTCCCTAAGTGCCTAATCACATGCCTTATAGGAAACCACCAATCACCGAGTGCCGAGTAACCTAAGCCCCATCCCTTCCCTTTCCTCCCCTCAAAAGGCGCCTTCACCCCAGCACGGTTCCTTCTCTGATAAAGCCCGTGTCCTGGTCTCCGGCCCTCTGTCTCATCGTTCAAACACTTTATACTAATTAGCAGCCCCTTTCACTAAGCTAGAGGTTCTCAAACTTGAGCTAGCTTCAGAAGCAAATTGCTGGGTCCCACTGTTTGTAGAGTGAGGCGCCAGGATTTGCATAGCTAACAAGGTGCTCGATGATTTTGTTACCTGCCCCCTTTCCCCATCAGGGGGCCATGGTTTGAGAATCACTCTGCTAAACTGCATATTAATCGGCTTTATCATCCTAGGTCCCAGAAATCAGGACTCCCCAGTTCTGGAGACAAGATCAGCTCCCTTGGCACTCCCCAACCCCTGCTCTCCACAGGACCTGGCTGTCTCCAGTTCTCCTTAATTTGCCCAGATTAGTTAATTTTCTCCTTGTTATGGACAGACTTATAGGCTGTTTGAGGGAGCTGAACATCACTGAAGTACGGTAAAGGGGTCTCTGGCTCAGCCATTTTACAGGTTTTGATAAGCAACCCCCCAAGGCGTCTGACTAGCAAGCAAGCCCCTTCCTCTTGGTTCCTGCGGGTAGATCTGCAGTCCCCTCGCCCTGCTTTCTCTCTGCCGCTGCCTCTGGGGCCCTTATCTGCTCCTTGCAGCCTTCACAGGATACATTCTGGGCAGCGTGGCTCCTTCCGCTCCAACCACCCCAACACCGATTCCTTTCTTTTTCTCCTGCATGTTTTTGAGCCCATACTTTGCAGTTTTTTTTTTAGGAGGGAGATAAACCTACCAAGCTCTTCTCTAGGCCCCTCCCTGCGCCTGCATGATAATCCCTCCTCTTCTTCCTTCCCAACTCCTTTGCAGAAGTTCATTTTGTGAAATGAGATAAAGGCAGTACAGGAACCAATTCCCAAAACGCTGCTTTGCTCAGAAGGGGCTAAAGATTGTGGGATGGAAAACTGGGAGGGTGTCTTAAAGCCAGAGGTGAAAGGAACAAGTAGACTTACTTTCTCATCAGAGAAGACTTAGACCCAGCCAACCATCACGAGGCAGGGTGAGAAGTTGACTTTTAGAAAAAGGTCTCAAAAAACAGATGGGGTGGACAGTTGTTGGGAGACTGAGAGACAGTGATAGACAACATCTTCATGTGTCCGAGCCATCTCTGCTTCCACCCAGGATTCCTGGGAAGGCAGGCTGTCCTAGATAGAAGCCGCTTTTCCTATTACTCCATCAGTGATGGGCAGCAGGCTGAGGCCTGGCTCACTCCCAGAGTACAGTAAGCCATGACTTGTCCCTGTAAATGAAACACTTTTGACTAACGACTGGGTGTGTAGCACTTGCTTCCTGCTAACACCGAGAACCCAGGACTCCCTGGCTGGAAGACAGGGAGCTGGCATGGGCCCGAGAGGTGTGCTGTAGGCGAGGCTGACCCAAAAGGCTTTGGCAACTGAAAGATGAGCAATCATAAACTGGGAGGCTGGATGGGAGCGGAAACAGGAGTAGCCATGATCTAACCTGGTAAGTCCCATTGCCTAGGGCTGCATTCCCAGACAAAGCTGCCTCTTGGAGACAGGAAGCTTCTACTGCCTCCCACCACGACCCATAAAAGAATCCAGAGTGCTAGTTCCCCTCACAAACCACTGTCCTCCCCAGATTTCCTCGAATCTTGAAGCAATGCCTTCTGCCCTGGGCCAGTGACTGATACATATGGAAAGCTGAATGCGGGGATAGAAAGGGCATGGGTTCAGGCCTCCAAGTTGTCATTGACTAGCCGTGCAAACTTGGAGCAAAATCTTTCCGTTCCTGTTCTTCAGATGAGGTGACAAATAGCCACTTCATGGGGCTGTGGTGAAGAGTGAATGCAATAAAAATGTAACAATGGCTGTTACATTTTCTCTGCTCTCCCCTTACCCACTCACCCTCCTTACAAATATGGCAGTACGGAGTTGTGTGAGGATTTTCATTCTGTGTCTCCAAGAGGATTCCAATCTACGACAGTGTAAAGATCAAGAAATGGTGATATAGACTATTATCTATGGATTAAGCAGGTTAAATAGCAGTGGACGTCAGAATTCTGAAGATGTCCTTCCTAGATTTCTGGCCCCCCAGCTATTGAATCAAACTACTCTTAAGGGGCTCTGCAGCTGTAATTAAGGTTTTGGACCATAAAATAGGGAGATCAGTCTGGACTTCCTGGTAGGCACAACCTAATCACTTGAGCCCTTAAAAAACAAACTCTGGCAGGAGTTAACAGAGATAAGTCAGAGAGAGTCCAACTGTGAGAGACCTGACCAGCCGTGGCTGGTTTTGAGGGTGAAGTAGGGTCCTAAGCCTAGGAGTGTGGGCAGCCTCTGGAAGCTAGGGATGACCACTGGCCACCAGCTAGCAAGGAAATAGATCCTACAGCTGCAAAGAGCAATCTGGCCAACAACATGAAATGAGCTTGGAAGTGGATTCATCCCCCAGAGCCTCTAGAAAGGAACACAGAGATTCGAACACCTTGATGTTGGCCTTGTGAAAACCAAAACACAGAAACCAGTGGAGCCAATTTGGACTTCTGACCCACAGGACTGAAAGAGTAAATGGGTGTTACTATAGAACAGTGAAAAGGCTCTGAGAAGTCTGCAGGCATGAGCATAGAGGACAGCCATACGTGTGGAAGTGTTTGCTACCAACTTTATTTGAAGGTGAATAGTACAACATTGACAAATGTATTTTGTATAATCAAGTCTGCACTGCCCCCATGCACTGTGGGGCTAAGGAAGACATAGTCCTTCCAACAGCTAGAAACAGACCCAGATAATGAGTTTATGAAAAACACTTTCTCTTCCTCCAGCAAACGAAATTATTTATGAAGCTGTACAGTTCAACAATAGGGAGCAAAAGGAAAAAAAATTACCTCAAGGAAAGCAACAGCTCCTTTTCTGGTGGGATCCGTCATTTTACAGACATGAAATATTCATATCAGAGATCTTATATTTCAAGAGGAATGGGTTACATATCAGAGCTACAACAATAAACATTTTATTTATTACCAACAGGGAATTAGAAGACTCTCTTTGAACACAGTTTCTTACCCAGACTTTTGGAGACCAGGGTCAGCATGACGCCTCTTTCTAATTAATCATCAAGTTTCATATTTATGTCTATCACCTGCCTCTGGATTCCCTTCCCAATACCCCACTCCAACATTTAAGAGCTACCTAAGGACTGTTCTGATTTTAAGTTGCATCACAGATCCCTTAACTCCCTCCCATTTAAGAGTTTGACCCTTGGCCTTTATGAACACAGGGTTTCAGAGAAACAAATTCAGGGAAACCATCTATTCTCCTGAGCCCGGCTACTCTGTGCCACCAGCTCTAAGCCGACAGCCCCGGCACAAGGAATAGGGCTGATAAATAATGAATCAGCAACTTGCTCAACTGGTGGCGTTTAAAATTCCTTTCAGGTGAAAAATTACCACAATTTTGTGCTCATGGCAGATTTCAAAGGGAGACTTGGAACAGAAAATCTTTAAGGGACCCTTACACAGCCAGAAGTTCTTTTCAGGTCGATGTACATAAAACATTTAGTAACCGGGACAGTGGAAGGACTAAAAAGGAGCTCCCAGGGCCTGGGAAAAGGCCATTTCTTAAGCTTGTTCGTGGGGTCCTGTGGAGACAGGCTCCACACATGGTTGGCAGGAATCGGCAGCAGCGCCAGCGCCCTGGGGTATCAGGTAGGCATCCAGCTCCTGGCACTGGTAGAGGCATACGCTGTCCAATACCCACTCTCGGGTTACCATAGGTACCTCACACGTCTGCCCAATCACTGAGGACAGAGACCACAAGTAGAGATTAGTGTCAATTCACATTTCCCCAGAGCAGACTGTAGTTAATCTATGCTGGGCACCTACTGTGTTTCCCCGAAAATAAGACATCCTCCGAAAATAAGACCTAGCGCAAGTTTGGGAGAAAAAATTAATATAAGACACTGTCTTATTTTCGGGGAAACAGGGTAGTTGTATGAGCTCTTAGGGTTACTCAGGAAGAAGCAAAAGTGTTGATTGCAAGTAATGTTTTAGGACAGTGGTCGGCAAACTCATTAGTCAACAGAGCCAAATATCAACAGTACGACGATTGAAATTTTTTGTTAGAGCCAAAATTGACTTCTGCGCATGGGCCACGAAGTTTCAATCGCACTGTATGTACACGCTGGCATGTGGTGGTATTTTGTGGAAGAGCGACACTCAAGGGGCCAAAGAGCCTCATGTGGCTCATGAGCCGCAGTTTGCCGACCACTGCTTTAGGACATAAGACCTTATTCGGCAGTCTGAGGAGTGACAGCTGGTGAAAACCCACAGCTTTAACAACTTTATTAACATGAGCCCCAATCTGTTAAATAGCATTGCAATTTAATGGTGGGAAAACATTTGCAGTATCTTAAGTGAAAAGCAACACAATATGAGCATGACCACATTAGTGTAAAATATATGTATATACACATATACACATGCCTGAAAGAATTTTATGGTGATCATCTCCAAGGGGCGGGATTACTGGGATTCTTTTGTTGTTTGTGTTCATTTTTATTTCATGTGATGGACATTCACATTTAACCCCTCAATGGAAATAGTTCATGCATTACTTTTGTAATGTAAAATAAACAACAAAGAAGGTTTTAGAAGAATATTTTAGCCATTCCTTCAACAAACATGAGCCCCTCAAATGCACTGAGCGCTGTGTTAATTAAGCACTGGGTAACCCGTGGTTAACCAGACTCATCTCACAGGCACATGCTTGTGGCCTTCTGAAGCCCCAAACAGGGGCACCATTCACTCCAGTTGATCTAAACAGGACAATCAGACCTAAAATCACCATAGTAACCTGCACACTTAACCTGGGCCCTCTACTCCACACTCCTCTGGGTGAAGGCTTCCAGTAAGACTCACCACGGAAGTCACTGTCATCTGTCCAGGCGTCCGGCTGCATGACCACAATTGGGTGAGTGCCCTGCGTCCCCAGGAAAGGAACATTGAGGGTATCAGAACAGGACTTTGGGGACAGTCACTGCACCATTTCTCGATGGTGAGATGAAGCAACCACCCAAAGGAGGAGGAAGGGCACACGGCAAAAAGGAAGGATTAGTGGAAAAGAGCCTTCCCTCAGGACAGTAAATACTTAGAGCCCTCAGGTCCTCAATCCCTTACAGATGGAGTCTTCTGACACACACACGTGGTCAGAGAAGACCTGGGTTAAGAGAGACCTCTCAGGCTACACTAGGGTGTGGAGGGGTAGTCCATAGGGATTGATGGGTGCTGCCTTGCTCCATCACCAGATAGAATATTGTGTCCCGTCTCCCCTCCCCCTCAGGGCACCAAATGCTTACCTCTCCGAGGGTGAATAATGAAGGCTCCTTCACCACAGAGGCCCCACAAAGCTGCACCATCCACTCTAGTTGATCTACATAGGCATTCAGACAGAAAACCACCACAGTGATCTACGTGTTTTTAACCTGGGCTCCCTATCCACCACAGTAATCTACGTGTTTAACCTGGGCTCCATATTCCTCTGAATGAAGGCTCAGAGCAAGGTTCTCAGTGGGAGTCCCTGTCTCTCTATTCCAAAGGGACGGAAAGGCCTGAAACTAGAGGGACATGGATTCTAAGTTAATTTGCCACTGATTTGCTACTTACTCTGGTTATCAGTCCCAATAAGGCCACTTGGTAGATAAGGTTTAACAGTCTCTCAAATAAAACACAAGAAAGCAAATCTAATTTTCATTAATTTGCTAAGTTGCAGGTAGGATACTGTGAAAAAACAGCCACCTGTCTTCCCTCCCTCCTTGACTAATTCTGTGTTGGTAATTGATAATCAGGGCCACAGAGAGCACCATACTCGGTGGTAATTACTGTAAATGTCAGATATAGGAAGATAATTAAAACAAAACAAAACAAAAGCACCTATCACCCGGGTCAGAGACTCAGCACATCAGCTGGGAAAGGCTATTTGTTGAGCTGGTATCAACACACTCAAGAGAATAAAAATCAGAAGAGGTTGTACCTGTACCTGAAAAATCAGTAGAATTGACCAATGGGTGGCCCCTGGGCCCCTGTGGATGCTCTTTTCTATCAACCCATTTCTGGGGATGGTTAAGGCGCTCTTCTTTGTCTGAGCATAGTGAGGTCAACTGACTCACTTCTATTGTAAAATCATACCTGCTAGAGGCCCTGGTTTTCATTATACCAAAGTACAACGACACTGAGAAATCCATGCGTGGCATATTGAAGTTTCATAAAAATCCAATCAATAACCAATAAAGAAGACATAAGCAAAATTACTTTGCCAGGCTCTCTAGCTGCCACTCAGCTCTCCCTGACCACATGCTAAGGCCATCTTCTGAGAAACAAAAGGACTTGATCCTGGGACAGAGGTGAGGACAGATGTAAAGGTAGGTTTACATCTGTGTTCACCTCTTTATTAAGAATATGAACCAGCCCTGGCCAATGTTTCTCAATGGTTAGAGCACTATACTATTCGATACATATCAAGGGTCATGGGTTCCCTCCCTGCCCCTGGTCAGGGGGTGGGTGGTGGGTGGGTGGGGAAGGCAACTAATCCATGTGTTTCTCTCACAATGATGTTTCTTTCTCTCTCTTCCTCCTATTCCCTCCCTTCCATTCTCTGAAAAACAATGGGAAAAATATCCTCAGGTGAGGATTTAAAAAAGAAAAAGAGAACAAACCAAATTATACATACACCAGGGCTTCAGTACCAAGCAACTCCAGAGTTGAGCCCCACAGCACTAAACATCACATCGCATTGGTGTCAAATAATTAGGAAAATGTTCATCAAGTCTTCCCCTGCTCTGAGCTGGTATGGGAGAGGGCTCATGCAGCTGCTGTGCTTTCTTCTCCATCAATGAAGATGTTTAGGGAGATAAGAACCCTATTTCTCCCTCTTTCTTAGACCAAAAGGCACTAAGAGCAGCTCCACCCCATCTGAGCACAGATGTTAATTCTTCACTGCCTTCAAGCTCTGGAGAAGAGGCTCAGGGCTAGGTTTTGTTTTTGTTTGTCACAGGGGACCATTTAAGTGCAGTTTTGTCTGACAGGTGATAGATAAATAGACTAACCTCTATTAGATGACCCCTCCTATAACTATGTACGGGAAAGGCGGGTGCTGGGCCCTGCAGTCATCCCACTCTCTTACCTGTGGACATGTTGGTAAAGGGGCCATAGCAACAGATTTCTAGGCCCTTGAAGATCTGGGAGAAGAGAGGAACAGAGGAACAGAGAAACACTAGTTACAAGAGTATGGGTTTTATAAAAAACAACATAAAGAGACTCTCTAAGAACTTTCACTTTTCCTTTCCTTCCCCCCAACCCTTAAATATATTTTTATTGATTTCAGAGAGGAATGGAGAGGGGAGACAGAAACTCAATGATCAGAAAGAATCATTTATAGGCTGCCTCCCACATGTGCTATGGGGATCGAGTGGAAGGGCATGTGCCCTGACTGGGAATTGAACCATGACCTTCTGGTTTATAGGTCGACACTCAACCACGAATGGGCATCTTTTTTCTTTACCACCAGACGATTTCTGCTGCTACTTCCAGAGACAATCATCCAATGTCCAGAACACTGCTGGATTGTAGAAGACTCTTCTTGTTTTTGTTGATAATCCTCGCCTGAGGCCATTTTTTAGGGAGAGTGGAAGGAGCTTGTTTAAGGGCTAGAAATCCAGCTATTAGTTGATATTTGATGTTTATCCAAACTTGGTACCTCAGGACTAACCAACCATAACTCTGATTGGCAGAGAGGTCTATGTTTATTTTATATGTACAGGCTCCTTTTCTCCTGACTTTCTTCTGGTCTCCAGCACCTGTGAACACCAACCTATGAACCAGGAGGTCACAGTTCGATTCTCGGTTAGGGCACATGCCTAGGTTGTAGGCTCAGTCCCCAGTGTGGGGTGTGTAGGAGGCAGCCAATCAATGATTCTCTCTCATCAATGATGTTTCTATCTCTCTCTCCCTCTCCCTTCCTCTCTGAAATCAGTAAAAATATAGTGGGGGGAAGAAGTTCTCCCCAGGCAGCCAGCTTGAGCCAAATGTCGCTGTAAAAAGCATAAAAGATTAGAATTTTTTTCCACCCAGGCTGACAGTCATTGAAGAGGATGTCTAGTTATGAGAGAAGAAATTTGAAGTTTCACCTCTACAAATACATTTCTCTTTCACAGGAAAATACTATGGTGATATTTTCGTATCTTCAGAATGTCATTACTTTGATCAGGTACTTCCCATCACTGCCACCCCACATTCAGGAAAAAACCCCAAACACTGAAATTTCCTTTGAAGGAGGGAAAAATCTGGTGCAAGTTCTGCCTTGCATACAGCGGAATAAAAACAAACGGATGGGGCCTGTTCCCTCTACTTCTCTTCTCCCCTCCCCGCTCCACCAGGCCGGTTCCTTTGCCTCTCTCTCTCCTGAGCTCCAAGCCCCTCCCCCCTTTTTGCTTCTGTAACTTGTTTCCTGAGCCTCTGCAGCCCAGCTGGCTCACTTCTACCACCTCTCTAACTTTCCAAAGAAACTTTCTTACTTTTAATTTGAAGAAGAAAAAAACTTTGGCTCACAGAGCTCCCCGGGGTGAAGGCAGAAACAGACCTAGGGCCAGCAGCTTTTCCTGGCAGCTGGGAAGTTACTTGGTTGGTTAAGCAGGTGAGGGTGGGCTGACCCCATGGGTTCAGAGCTCCAGGGACTGATAATTTGTGCTCATCTCCCAGAGCAGTTTTCCTTGGAAAATCACCTCTATTGGTTCGCCCTCCAGTTCTGTGAAAGGACACAAGGTGCTCCTTGTGGGGATGTTACAAAATGCCTGGCGGTGAGCACTCGGACTGGGGACATAAGCACGCAGTCAGGGGCCTAAGAAAGCTGCTGGCTCAGGCCTGGCAGGCAGGTGTGAAATCTTGCCTGGACTTCTCCCTGAGAGAAGGACACTGTTTTTGGCCACATCACTTGCTACAGGATGATCTGGGAACATTACTGGTGTTTCTCAGTGTTCTAGTCCTTCCTTTTTAAAGATGTTAGAATCAGCTATTTTTCTCCTTGGTGAAACCTATAATTTTCCAAGAAACACAATATTGTCATTAAGAGCTCAGACTCCAGGGTCTGGGCAGGTAGCTCAGTTGGTTAGAGTGTGGTCCCAGTACGCCAAGATTGCGGGTTCAATCTCTGGTCAGGGCATATATAAGAATCAACAAATGAATGCATAAATGAGTCAAACAACAAATCAATGTTCTCTCTCTCTCTAAAATCAATCAATAAATTTAAAAAAGAGCTCATATTCTGGAGCTACACTGCCTGTGTTCAACTTCTACTTATGCATTCACCACTAGCTGTGTGAGCTTGAGCAACTTACTCCACCTCTCTGAGCCTCAATTTTCTCATCTATAAAATAGGCATAATTACTGTACATATCTAATAGGGTTACTATAAAATTGTTAATCAGTTAAAACACGTTGAGTATTTAGATCTGGCATATAGTGAACATTATATAAATATTAGCTATTGATTATCAGTCATTTTCTCTTCTATGCATCCACAGACAGCACTGCGGACATCCCCTTTACAGCACTTACCACACTACTTTAGAGAAAGACACTATGGTAAAGTGGAAAGAGCAAAGGCTTAGATTCATATCTGTTTCGAATCCCAGCTCTGCCATTTATCTGCTAAGATTTGAACCCCAGATTGGACCAAATTACTTCTCTAAGCCTCTAAGCCGCCTCATTCATTAAATGGATCTAATACTTACTTACCTTGTTGGGCTAGAACTGGAAAAAGAACCTAGATGGAAGCACTGAGCCGTGTGTAACACCCCCTCAAAGATGAACCAGGGGGGCTGGAAGGCAGAGGGGAGGTGGGACTTCTGCCAACAGGGGGAAGGAGGTTTTACCTTTCTCTCCTGGGATTCTCTTGCTCGCTTTGGGCCTTGGTGGTTCCTCCCATTGATAACATCTCCTCTCACTTCAAAATCATGCTAAACGAGACCAAATGCAAACCAGGGATCAGAGAAAGAGAAGCCGCCCTCAATGGAAGCGGAGTGGATGTGCCATATTTAAGGAAGTGAGTATTGCTCGGCAATCTTTTGACCACTCCCCTCAAATCATTCTTTTTGGTAGACTGGATGAACCGACCAGCCTCTTAGCTGCTGAAATCAATTCCCCGAAGCAAAGCTTTGTGGGCAGAAATTAACAACTGGCTTTTCACCTCACTGGGACTTAATGTATTTTAATTTTCAACATCTATCTCCTCTCAAAACATTCACTTAGCATTTAGATTAAACTGCTAATTCTGTGCGGTTATAAAGGTAACGGGAGAATTCCTGATCTCTTAAATCAATTGTGTATTACCAGCTAAGGGCTTTTCAGATTTCCATTGAGAGATTTAGTTAATGAAACCAAAATGATAAAAAATACATTTAATATACTGAAGAAAAAGGTTTTACTTATCACTATTTTGATTGGTCAAGGATGAGAGTAATAGGATTAGGGAGGTTAGAGCTTTGGGGATAAATTAGGAGAATACTTAAGAAACAATTCTGACTGAAACTCAGGTTGTAGAAGAAGATCATATCCACTGCCAAGGTTATTACAAAGTAAAATAAAGTCATGGTAGTATAACCACAGGCTAATATTAGGGGAAAGACCACTTCATACTTCCTAGTCGCTTGAGTGAGAAAAGTCTAATGACAAATGTCATCTGTTTGGAGATGGCCTTCAATTTTATAAGCTTGATTGTACCCCTGTTCCTTCTTAACCTCTCTTCCTGGATGCCTAGGATATACCCCTCATTTTGTTTTTTATTGTTGAGAGATTACAAATGTCTCATTTTCTCCCCTTTGCTCCTCTCCATCTTTTACACACACACACACCCCCCCCAAGGCCTTCTAAATCCCCAAATTTATACCTCTTGCCCCTTGCCTGATCTATGCTCCCTACATATTATTCACCAATTGCTATCCTCCAGCTACACTAGTCTATTTTTCTTTAACAAACAAGCACATTCCTACCTCATTGGCTTTTATGCTTCCTGTTCCTCCGCCTTCATGTTACCTACATTTTCTAAGGCCAATTCTTCCTTGTGTTTTAGGTTTTAGCTCAAGCATTTCAGAAGCCATCCCTGGCCTCCTAAAGTAGTCAATCTCTGTCCCTGGTCAACTATTAATCTGCTGTTCATGGTATTTATTGCTATCTTAAATGATCCTTATCATCATGTATTTTCCTTCAACAAAACAAGAATCTGGCCAGAGAATGGACCTGTCAGTCTTATTTACTGCTGTATTCCTGGTGCCCGGCACAGAGTAGGCTCCCAATAATATATGCCCCGAATGATAGTTAAAACCAACAAAAATATTACTTGATTATGAATATACTGAATGGTATATAATATCTCAAAACTATTTTTGTTAGTTTTATTTTCCCTGATCTGTTGTCACCAGCAGGTCTTAGATTGTTCTCTTCTAAAATATTTCTCCTCCTACACTCTTCTTATTTACCTAACTATTCTCAGTGTCATAAAGAGTAACATCTCTCTGAAGGATTCTGATTTCTAAGCAAACACATTTGCATATGAATATGAAGGATTTTTCTTTAATTCAACAGTGAACAACCAGTTCTCTATCAAGGTCTATGCATATAGATTTAGGTGGGCCTATTTCTTTTGCTTATGAATCTTTTTTCTGCTCTATGAGTTCCTTTTCCTTCCTCAAAGGAAAGGATTGTTTCTACTGAAATTTAGAACAAGCAAATGAGGCACAGAATTTCTGGGTTTGCTCTGCATGATTCTTGATAATCCCCATTATCAAAGTGGTACAAGGAAGGAAGCAGCTACATTTTTGGTGATTATGTGACTCAATGGCATCAAGTCTTTCTGATCAAGTACCTACCTCATTTAGAATCTTGCTTTCTTTAATAGACTGGGTCACCCCTAAAGAGATGACAGAAAAGACAGGTCACAATTCAGAAGAACATGGACTTAAAAAAAACCATATATATATATATATATATATATATATAAATAAATATATATATATATATATATATATATATGCACACACATATATATATTATTGATCATTTACAGAGAGGAAGAGAGAGGGATAGTTAGAAACAGGAGAGGAAGGAAGAGGAATAAATAGTTAGAAACATCGATCAGCTGCCTCCTGCACACCCCCTACTGGGGATGTGTCTGCAACCAAAGTACATGCCCTTGACTGGAATCGAACCTGGGACCCCTGAGTCCGCAGGCCAACGCTCTATCCACTGAGCCAAACCAGTCAGGGCAGAACATGGGCTTTTTGTGGAAGTGGATGGTGAAGCAATTCACATCAGAGCTTGGGAGGAATGACATTGAGCAGAAGTCCCATCTCAATGAAGCCACAGCTCCTTGTAGCAGAGATTTCTTTTTGGAGATATGGTTGATGCTTAACCCAAACATTATAATAGCGCCTGCTGCACATGAATTTCTGCCTACTATTAGATAAATCCCTAATTCGTATACTAACATTCCAGTTGCAGATTAGGTCCTATTAGTTATAAAAAGAAATCCATTTTCCCAACATCCCCAGCTTATTGGAACAAAGATAAAGATAAAGATAAAACTAGCTTAGTGTTATCATTAAAGACCTTTTGGTAATTCAGATACAACATCAGCAAAATCCTTAGGTGATAAGATGTTTGATATACAAATGCAATTCTGAAGGGTAAAAGGGAGGAGGGGAGAAATGCACTATACTTACAGAAATAGCTAACTACCCATTTTCCTCCTGCAATTCCCAGAAAGTATTTCAGGGTCCGTTCACATACAAATTCAGCATCTGCAGAATGAAAAATATCCAAAGGATCAGTAGAAGTTGAAAACAAAGTCAGGAAGTGCCGCCCTAACAAGCTAATGAGCTCCAGTTCTATATGCTACTTGCAATCAATATGGATTGATGATTTCAATACCCCAGCGATAGAATCAGAGGCTGGAAGCACCCCTAAATATAACCAGCATGTGTGGATCTTTGGAAGTTAGAAAAGGCTGACACGAAGTTAAAACCAAAGGAGATGCCTGACCTAGCTTCTAAATGACAGGACTAGCTGCAGACATCCATCACTGTGCTCAGGGAATTATCTATTATACATCAGTAGTATTGATACATGTGGGTGCGGAAGACCTATTTTACTGGATGGCAATATGTGGAAGGAGAAGAAAACAGTAGTGTTGAAATCCTCTATCTGATGTGTCAATGTAAGTGACAAAATTTTCACCCCCTGGGGAATCCTAACCTAATTTCCCTGAGGACAGAAAAATAGAGTATTTTCATAGCATTTTTCCTCTATTCATAAGTATTTCAGAAAGAAGTACCTAAAGAATCACTTCTGTTTATTTACTAGTGTTTCAAAAAACCCTCTGTGCCCTAGCCGGTTTGGCTCAGTGGATAGAGCGTCAGCCTGCGGACTGAAGGGTCCTGGGTTTGATTCCAGTCAGGGGCACATGCCAGGGTTGCTGGCTCGATCCCGTGAGAGGCATGCAGGAGGCAGCCAATCAATGATTCTCATCACTGATGTTTCTATCTTTCCCTCTCCTTCTCCCTTCCTCTCTGAAATCAATACAAATAAAATAACAATAAAAAAATACAATCCTCTGAAGAACTAAGCAAACTGGGAAATAAATGTATTTAACTAAATCTTAAACATAGCATTCTATCTGCTAGTAGTAGCAACAGCCATTCTCCCTCACAGAATTCTTCACAAATAACTAAAATCTGCCGAGATCGGTTTGGCTCAATGGAAAGAGCGTCGGCTTGGGGACTGAAAGATCCTGGGTTCGATTCCGGTCAGGGGCATGTACCTTGGTTGTGGGCATATCCCCAGTAGGGGGTGTGCAAGAGGCAGCTGATCGATGACTCTCTCTCATCGATGTTTCTAACTCTCTATCTCTCTCCCTTCCTCTCTGTACAAAATCAATAAAATAAATAAAAATAAAAATTTCATACAATAAAAAAATATAAAAACAAAACAAAACAAATAACTAAAATCTTTTTTCTTTCATTACAGTTTAATAGCTTTTTGTTTAACTGCTGTGAAAGTTGACTTAATAATATGGTTTAAACACAGAAATTTTAGCTTATTTTTAGTTCAAAAGTTGTATTGCCACCTGGACAGTGTGGCTCAGTGGTTGAGCATTGACCAGGAGGTCACAGTTTATTTATTTATTTATTTATTTATTTATTTATTTATTTATTTATTTATATTGATCAGCTGCCTCTTGCACACCCCCTACTGGGGATGTGCCCACAACCAAGGTACATGCCCTTGACCGGAATCGAACCCGGGACCTTTCAGTCCACTGAGCCAAACCGGTTTCGGCAGGAGGTCCCAGTTTAATTCCTGGTCTGGGCACATTCCTGGGTTGTGGCTTTGATCCCCAGCAGGAAGAAGCCGATCAGTGATTCTCTCTCCTCAATGACTTTCACCCGTGCTATGCTAAGACTTTCTCCCTTCCTCTCTCTGAAATAAATAAAAACATATTTTTAAAAAAGTTACATTGCCTTTGAGTTTAGAATCTAATTACTTTAGATTTAGTTTACATTTTAAAGTTTTCTTTTCACCTTCCAGCAGCCTTGATCCAAACCTATAGCTTAAGATTTATTAAACTTGAATGGCATTCAACTCTAAGACAGAACTTGGTTCGAGGTACCTTGTTTTGGCACCTGGTTCCTGTAAGTACTATCCTCTGACCCTGTGGTACGATCTGTGTAGAGGGCAAAGCTGACATTTTAGAGGTTCTAAGGCGATGAGCCCCTGCCAAGGACTCTGGACCCTCTACTCAAGGGCCTGCAGCAATGTGAACAGAGTGGACCATTTTATTCCCTAAGTCAGTTTTGAGGAAGGTTTAGGAGCTGCACCTCCTGTTTGCTGCATGCACTGGCCTCTGCTTCCCAGAGCCAAGAGCATGTCTAACTCCTCTTCCAGACAACAACACTTCAAATATTTGAACACAGTGGTCTTGTTTCCTTAAGTCTTCTCATTCATCTGTTCTTCACATGACATTGTTCTCAATTCCTTTTCTCCATCCTCATCATCTACTTCTGGATAAACACTCTCTAACATGTCAGTGACCAGCTTAAAAAGTCGTAGTGTTCAAAACAGAGCACGTGTTTTCCAGGAAGTCACTCCAGCAGAGAATACAGTGGGGGTGGAATCGGGATTTTTACTTTACTTGTTTCAGACATTAGGTTTGTATTAATGAGGTCAAATTTTAAATGAGCTTTTTAGCAGCCCTGAAATATTTATTCAGATTTAGCTTATAGTCAACTAAAAGACTCGAAGGTCTACATTATCACGGGAGTCAGAATTAAGATTTAAAAAGGTGGCCGAAACCGGTTTGGCTCAGCAGTAGAGCGTCGGTCTGCGGACTGAAAGGTCCCAGGTTTGATTCCGGTCAAGGGCATGTACATTGGTTGCGGACACATCCCCGAGGGGGGGTGTGTGTGCAAGAGGCAGCTGGTCGGTGATTCTCTCTCATCGACATTTCTAGCTCTTTCTCTCTCCCTTCCTCTCTGCAAAAAATCAATAAAATAATAAGTACAACCAATGGACACAAAACTCTGGGGAGGGAGGGTATATATGGGGGGCGGGGCATTGGTAGATGTACAAAAATAATAATTTAATAAAAAAATATATTTTAAAAAAATTAATAAAATATATATTAAAAAAAAGTGGTTCATTGTCCTGGGTCACCACTCTCCAAATCTTAAACCCAAAACAAAAGGGCTCAGAAGGTAGAAAAACTATTATTTTTCTTTCGTAAAACATAATTGATCAACTACTGGAAGACTTTCACCCGTGCCATGCGAATACTCCCATTTCTTCATGTAGTTCCATGTAACAGCTGCAATGCGTTCCATAAAGGTTCTGGTATACCTGTTTTCATAATGACATGAGTAGTCTCTTCAGTAATTACATCAGTTACAGTGATGTGGTGTTTTCTGGCAAACTTGTGCACACGCATCTGAAATCAAATAAAATATTGTTATAAATGACCTCTAGTGCACAGCTTAGAGCATTAGTTATCCTAGCTTTGAATCTCCATTTTTTTCCTCACAGAAAAGGTACATTCTTTTATTCTAACATGTCTGAAGTCTCAAAATAAATAGCAATTTAATACAAGTTATGTACAAACCAGAGGAAGAAATTCTAAAGTACAATAATTCATGCTAGGAGACATGAACTATAACCAAGGACTCAAAATAATATTAATTTCCCCTTTAATAGCAGATATCATTGAATTCCCTAAGACATCTAGTTTCTTTTCAGAGTGCTGCTCTACTATAATACAGATTTATCAGCCTACACTACACATAGGCTGAGAGGTAGTTAGCCTACACAGAAAGTTATGTTACAGATATGTGGCTTAAAAACAAGATGTGCCTGGCTGAGTGGCTTAGTTAGCTGAGCATCATCCTGTATACTGGAAAGTTGCTGATGCGATTCCCAGTCAGGGCACAGACCCGGGCTGTGGGTTTGATTTCCGGCTGGGGCACACACACGAGGCAACCAATCAATGTTTTTCTCTCCCTTCTTCTCTCTTTAAGTATGTCCTCAGGTGAGGATTAAAACAAGATGCAAACCTCTGATAGCTCAAAAACATTCAAGTCAAGAGTACAAAAACTATCAATTCCTCTTCTGGGAAAAGACTGAAGAGACTCATATTATTCCCAAAAGAAATCTAGAGCCTTCTAGCTATTATCTATCAACCAAATAAAAATCAATAGGTAGTAAAAGAAATTAACCAGATCCATTATGGACACAACTGACATAATTAGTAGCAACCATTTGGTAAATAACTCAGTTTACCAAAGGCCATCGTTTATTAGCCATCACCACCCATGCCAATGTTTACATGCTGCACAATATTGCAATGGAGATCAGGCCATCCTTCTTTCATGCTGCTCATTCCACACTGCCACAGGGCACTAAAAAGGCAGACTAGAGAAGCTAATGACATCCTCCCCGCTTTTGTCACTGCCCTCTGCCAGGATCATTAGTAATTCTGAACTGATTAAATGCTGAAATCACGGCCTTGAACAGTGTTCAGTCAGAAGAGCAACCGCTGAAAAGATCATTTTAATATGGGTTTCAGAATTAATCATGTGTAACACAGTCAGCAGCTTTCATAATAAATTTACCACAATTCAAGTCTGAATAGAGCTGAAAAGTTTTCCTCTTTGCTTGTTTAAAGACAATATGTACCGAAGCCACTTACAGTCTAATGTGCAGCTCAGAATTGCCCATGGCAAGAAGGATTACATTATTTTAGCCTTCTCTGAAAAGCCGAATTTCAAAATAAGAAATGCTAATTTTCAATGAATAAACGGAAATTCTAGGTATGTAGGCAAACGATCAAGAGCAACATAAACCGAACACAGGTATGAATTTTCAGAGCATATAGCAGGTCTGGGCACCTGATTGTGAAATTAGAATTCCAGCATTATTGATGAGAATGTATTCATTGTATCTTCTAGGGCAGACATAGCTTACTTTGCCCTTTTAGTAGTAGGCTACCAAGAATGTTATGCTCAGCTGCTACGCATAGAGAACTTAGAATGAGAAATGGTTCTTATCCTAGGAAGGATATATTAAGATACTTAAGAATGACTGAGTCATCTCTGTGTATAATAAATTATACCCCCATTGAGTCCATTTAATACTCTGGTGTGCTATCTTATCATAGTTCTTTAAGATGTATCCACTCAATTATTTTATTATGAAGTGATACCAATGGTGATTACTTTACTATGATGTCTGAAAGCTACACTCGGAAACGATGTTTCAGTGATCTTAGCATTTTAATGGGTATTGTCCTTAGTGAGAAACAATTCCTATTTCCAGCATTAGGGACCCAAGGAGATGTCAAAATCCTAATAGGGAAGAGAGGCTCTTGCAGAGCAGAAATGATAGGACAGGCTACTGAAGAACTGTATTACCAACCAGGATAAAGACAAATAAACACTGGAGAAACGCCGTTATCTGGCAGTGAGCTTGGAACCAGTTTGAATTTAGCTAATCATGCTAGTGCGTCTCTCATATGTGAACAAAAGTGGAAAAAAGATGCCTTCTGGGGAGTAAAGCTACTCTTTTTATAATAGAGCTACTTGATTTTTATAATAAAAACTAGAGGCCCGGTGCATGAATTTGTGCATGAGTGGGATCCCTTGGTGTGGCATGATAGAATTGGGCTGAAACCTGCAGTCCAAGGCCATGTGCTGCTCCCGCTCATCCCGGCCCTGCTGCACCTGTTGTGGGCTCACGCCAGTCCTGATCAGGAGAGGCAAGCTGTGAGCCCTGTGCCTGGCACAGTCCCTGGGGGTGGGAGGCACCAGGAACAGGACTGGCCCTCAGGGCAGGTGGTGGGACGCCCTTGTTGGCCTGGGATCCGGATCCATACCACTGACGTTTGTTTTCGACTCATTGTCAGGAGCCACCTGGTGCCCGCTTTTATATTGTTTCTTCCTTGCCAAGTGTCTAGGGAGGGGAGGCGGCTATGGTGCCTGACGCTGACGTCTGGGAGGCCAGCAGTGCTGTTGGCATCATGCTGACAGCGTCCATCAGTCGGTGCCTGGCCCTTTCCCAGGAGGTTGGACCCGCAGGGCTACTGAGGGAGGGAGTGGCTGCCACTGGGATGGGTCAGCAGCACTCCGGCTGTGGAAGTGCACTGACCACCAGGAGGAAGCTCCTGCATTGAGCATCTGCCTCCTGGTGATCAGTGCGCATCATAGCGACCAGTTGTTCGGTTGCTTAGGAATACACACACACACACACACACACACACTAGAGGCCCGATGCATGAAATTCGTGCAAGAGTAGGCCTTCCTTCCTCTGGCTGCCAGCACCAGCTTCCCTCTAGCACCCGGGACCCGGACTTCCCTCCAGCCGCCAGCAGGCACCCAACACCTGGCTTCCCTTGCATTCCTGGCTTCATCCGGAAGGTCATCCGGAAGGATGTCAGGTCAAGTTAGCATATTATGCTTTTATTATACACACACATACACACACACACACACACACACATACACGAAATTTAAAAAGCTCTATGTCATACCCAAAAATATAATCTCTCTGCTAATATTTAATAATTACTTTCTTTAAAAAAAATGATTTGAGAGACAGACACAGAGAGAAATATCAATTTGTTCCACTTATTTATGCATTCATTGGTTGCTTCTTGTATGTGCCCTGACAAGGGATTGAACGTGCAACCTTGGTGCATCAGGAGGATGCTCTAACCAACTGAGCTACCCATTCAGGGCTAATAAGTATTTTCTTAAGTAAATTTATACAAAATAATTAATGCTATAGTGTTATCTAGGTCCAAAATTTCAGAAATTAGTAATAAAAATTAAATTTCATTAGAATTATGCCTATTTCTTAGATTTCTTCCTATAAGTTATTTATTACTACTACTAGTTAAAACTATTATGGTATATAAATGAAGGCTCAGTCTTTAGGGAGATACATATGGATACACTTACAAGTTCTTTTGGGGTCAAGCCTGATGCCACCACAGATATTCCTTTGCCTGTTTTTGCTGAAGGTGTCACCTCTGGCTTCTCCCTGCTGGCACTTTCTTCCTTCACATCATACCCAGCAGCATTAGTAGTATGAGTAGCAGCTGGACTCTCAGCAGATTCAACTTGAAATTGGGGTAATTTCAAGGCAGAGGTTGAAGTTGGCATGCTGCAAACATGAGCTGACTCTGGGGCTCTGTCTTCAGGGGGATCAGACTCTGGGTCATCGGAGAAGAGGCTGATTCCAGACTGTACGTAAGGACTTTCCTCTAAAAGGAATAAGGATGAAATTTAATCTACATGAAAATGAACCTTGAATTACAACATCTAATCTCTGCTAAGAATTGAAAAGATGGACCAAGTCAAGAGAAAAATGAGTGTGCTAATATATTATAGGTGGAGGTGCAAGGTGTCTTAACTTTTCTAAAGGACAATTTGGCATTATATTCCAAAAGTCACGTGCGTTTACACTTTCAGTCAGTAATTCAAGTTTTAGAAATGTATCCTAAGAAAGTAAAAGATGCATGCACAAGTTTAGCCATAGGAATGTTCACTGCAATATTGTTTATAACAGTAAAGTTCTAGAAATAACCTAAATGTCCAATAATAGATTGGCACATCTATTTCAATGGCATACTCTTCACCCATTACATTCAGTTACTATGAAATAGAGAAATGCACACACCTATGTTCATTGCAGAATTATTTACAATAGCCAAGAGTGGAAGCAATCCAAGTGTCTATCAATGGATGAATGGATAAAGCAAATGTGTTATCTACATACAATGGTTTAAGTCAATCACAAAAAGACAAATGCTATACTATTCCACTCATATGAGATATTCAACTTGCCAAACTTTTAGACACAAAGTGGAATGGTAGTTGCCAGGGGATGAGGTATGGGGAAAGTGGAAAGTTGCTGTTTAGCGGGTACAGCTTCAGTTTTGCAAGATGAACAAGTTCTAGAGAATAACTGCACAACAATAAGAATATACTTAATGCCGGGACCGGTTTGGCTCAATGGATAGAGCGTAGGCTTGTGGACTGAAGGGTCCCGGGTTCGATTCCAGTCAAGGGCATGTACCTTGGTTGCGGGCATATCCCCAGTAGGGGGTGTGCAAGAGGCAGCTGATCGATGACTCTCTTTCATCGATGTTTCTAACTCTCTATCTCTCTCCCTTCCTCTCTATACAAAATCAATAAAATATATTAAAAAAAAGAAAAGAATATACTTAACACTAGTATACACTTAAAATAGTTAAGATTGTAAACTTTTGTTATTTATTTTTACTGCAATTAAAAACAAAACATATGCCATTGAACTTAAGATGCTATCCTATTTCAGAGTCCAAACATGAAAAAAAATTGCACCTTAGAATCCATGAAATGCAATATAATTTTGGTCGTTTCTATAATTTTGGTCGTTTATTTTATATAATTTAAATAACTTTTATTACCCATATTCTCCAACTGCTTGGCAATTCTCCAACTTTAGTAAGGAAGGAAATATATTGAAATATGAGAAATATTCAATTTTTGTTTCATCATCTACGATGATATAATTACCTTTTTAACATAATAGGTCATCAGATATCCTCACCAAATTAAAAAAGGAGATCATCCCTGAAACATTTCAGAAAATGCCACTCAATCAGAAGTAAGCATAACTAAGTAAAATGTATGAGATTCCCAAAATGACCCTAATTAAAATGGTCAAATAACACATTCAAAAGCCAAAAGGCATCTTTTATGATAATGTGTTTTAGAGGATTAATTTAAAATTTTCTCTACTAATTCAAACTTTAATTCACAAGCCGTAACATACACACCGTTCATTTAAAGTGATTTATAAGGCATAAAAAATATAGTCATTTATATTCATTAATTCATAACTTAAGAGCTTACTTTGGAGACTTGACTCATTTTTCAATCAAGGTCAGGCCTAAAACTTTGTTCTAGGGCTCTAGAACTCTTATCTAACAGTTGAAATAAAATATTTAGAGCACACCAAGACTCTCTCATCTTCAAAAAGAATGAAACCCATATAGACAGATGAACAACTGCAGTAATTTTCAAGTAAACAGGGATAAACATTCAAGCTATTTTTTAAAAATGGGTTTAAGTATGACAGATGCCTTCATGATATACTAGTACATAGGAAAGATGATGAACCAGAATACCCTCAGGTAAGATTCAGAGCAAAATAAAAGTCTTGTCCAACAGAGAAGATGAAATATATTACCTCGATCTTGTCTTGGCAAATGAGACGGCTCCAGTAAATCCTGGGTCTCAGACTTGGCCAGTTGTTGCTCCTCTGCATCTGCCCTCTCAATGAGCTCCTTTTGAGACGGGCGGTTTCCATTCTGAAGACTCTGTGAGTAGCAGTGCACATACCACCTGTCATCTAACAGCTGGGATGTAGAAGAGCTAGCAAGGATGCAAGGAGATTTTGTTATCACCACAGTTCACGAAAGGACTTATCTCACGTCCTGGGCAGCCAAAGCATAAGTAAAGCAGCTCGTTGTTGGAGAGACACTCAAGTGATGGCCTAGAAGTCTGGATTCATGATGTCTGCCAACATGTCAGGGCTGACACAGAACATTTCCCCTAGGGTCTATTCTGAGGCAGTAGGTATATATCTCCTAAGCTGTTGAAAAGCATGTCAGCAAATTTCAGCAAATGATCTACCACCACTTACTCAAATTCTATAAAATAGAAAGTATTATTCCACTTGAGTCCCCATGGATGTGTTAATTACATCTCTCATAAAAGTAGAGAAAAGAGAAAGCTAATGATTAATTTTGACATCGCTACACTCATTCTTTCTATAACCAATTTCAGCAAATTTCATAGAATCATCCTTATCTCCTGCCTTTTCAGTATCGAGTCATTCTATATCCACACAATAAATAATTCCTTTACTCTTCCAGGTTTTAGGACTTTGCTGATTAAGATACTTAAGAGATTTAAAAGACCTCAGAGATTAGCTAATTAATTCAAATGATTATTAGTTGTTTACTATGAGTCAAACATCAAAACTAGGCTCTGTGGATTAAAGATGAGCAAGATCTGCCGAAACTGGTTTGGCTCAGTGGTAGAGCGTCGGTCTGCGGACTGAAAGGTCCGGGGTTCGATTCCGGTCAAGGGCATGTACCTTGGTTGCGGGCACATCCCTGGTAGGGGGTGTGCAAGAGGCAGCTGGTCGATGTTTCTCTCTCATCGACGTTTCTATCTCTCTATCTCTCTCCCTTCCTCTCTGTAAAATATCAATAAAATATATTTTAAAAATAAATAAATAAAATAAAGATGAGCAAGATCTAAACTGCTGCTCTCAAGTAATCTAGCAGAAGGAGTAAGTTCAATGAAATGTTTAAGTCTCTTGTGGGAGGGGGAGGAAGAGCACAAATATTTGGTCTGAATATTAAATGGATGCTTCAACTAGTTAAAGCTTGGCAATGAAGGCATTACCTTTAAACATAGGTTTAGTGCCTATGGAGGCCAGATCTTTTATTTTTGTAAGAGAACATTTATTGGGGAAATTACGGAAGTAAAAAAAGTAATTACTAGAAAAAAATGGGCTTAGGAAAAAGGTTATAGAGGTAAAGGAGGAGCCCTTGCATGGCTCAGTGGCTGAGCATCAACCTTTGAAGATGGTGGTTTGATTCGGGTCAGGGCACATGCCCGCGTTGCAGACTGGATTCCCAGTGTGGGGCATGCAGGAGGCAGCAGGTCAATGATTCTCTCTCATCACTGATGTTTATATCTCTCTTCCTCTTTCCCTTCCTCTCTGTGTGGAAAGGAGCTTGGAGTGAGGAAGCTAATAATAATGTGCCTGGCCAGGGAGGGAAGGGCATAGGGGTAGTCCCTGGAGGAAGAGCACTGAAGACCAGATCTTTTTTAAAAAATATATATATTTTATTGATTTTTTTACAGAGAGGAAGAGAGAGGGATAGAGAGTTAGAAACATCGATGAGCGAGAATCATCAATCAGTTGCCTCCTGCACACCCACTAATGGGGATGTGCCCGTAACCAAGGTACATGCCCTTGACCGGAATCGAACCCGGGACCCTTCAGTCCGCAGGCCGACACTCTATCCATTGAACCAAACCGGTTTTGGCTGGAGGCCAGATCTTTTAATTCTGTAGGCCACAGTGCCAGTACCCCAGCCTCAACAATATATCCTCAGTCTAGTTTAAGAGTTTTGGAAAAGATAGTGTCATTAGATTTTTGACAACTTGTCACTATTCCCAAAAAGGCAAGTAAAAATGTACATATACTCAGTAGAAACTCCATAAATATGAATTCCTTTTCCTTCCTGGAGTGGTGAGATATGTGACTCTAATGGCTCTGAGACTCTTTCTTGAACTATCAAATAGGAGTAATAGTCCAGAACTTGTCCCTTTACCATCACAGTGTTGTTGTAAAGGTCAAATGAGAAAGTAGGTACAGTATTTTTGAAAATATAAAGTAATATACAATCTAATCTCAATAGTAATTTGAATACTATGAAAAATATTTAACAGTAAGAGTTCAATTTAAGTAAAGGTGTTACTTAGATACCACAATTTGACATTTATTACTTCTTACCTTTCCATTCCCGGTTCTTTATTTTTATATCTGGTGGAACTATCCAGAGACTCTTGAAATTTGTCTGCAGAAAGGCTTTCTGAATTATGGCTTACAGGATATTCATCACTTTTCTCTGAAGTTAATACTATTTTAAATGAAATAGGAAAACAAAGAAATTTACTGCTTTGTCCTGATGGTGAAAATTCAGGTGAGTATATAGATTTCTTATTTATTTTTATTTATTGATTTTAGAGAGAGGAAGGGAAAGAGAGAAAAACATTGATTTGTCATTCCACTTATTATATTTATGCATTCATTGGTTGATTCTTATATGTGCCTTGAATGGGAATCAAACCTTGGTTCGCTAGGACAATGCTCTAACCAATTGGGCTATCCGGCCAGTGTGAGTATATTGATTTTCAAAAGGCAGCCATCTGTGCCAATCAAACCGGTTTTTAAGCAAGTATATCAGACATAATCTTTTTTATTTTATTTTATATTTTTATTGATTTTGTACAGAGAGGAAGGAAGAGAGATAGAGAGTTAGAAACATTGTTGAGAGAGAGTCATCGATCAGCTGCCTCTTGCACACCCCCTACTGGGGATGTGCCCACAACCAAGGTACATGCCCTTGACCGGAATCGAACCCGGGACCCTTCAGTCCCCAAGCCGACGCTCTATCCATTGAGCCAAACCGGTCTCGGAGTATATCAGACATAATCTTATAAACACAAGTGATCCAGCATCAAGTGGAAGGAAAATAAGTAAGTAAATAAATAAATAAATGCCACACTTTAAGACTGGGTAAATAAAGACACTCCACTGAGACAAGGCTGAAAAAAATCATATATTTATATATTCTTGGCCCTAAATTAGGGGTGTCGAACTCAATCAGAGAAGGGGCCAAAATCTAAAATCCAGCCTAAATCTCGGGTTGAATGGTTTACTGAACAGTCATAAACTGTCATTGTGATGGAAACGCAGCGGAGTGCAGTGATGACAACGCGGTGCGGGTCACATTGCAAGGCCTGGCAGGACGGATTTGGCCGGTGGGCCTTGTGTTTGACACATGTGCCCTAAATGATAAGGAAACGAGAATAGGAAATAATTTTTATCTATACAGTAAACTAAATTTTACTCAAATCCCCTTAGATAATAGGGAACAGAAAGTACTAGAAAGAAAAGAACATTCCCTTTTCTACACCTACTGCCTCCACATCAAAGACTGTATAAAATGGGGTGTGAACTTTTACATGTGTGAAAAAACAAGAGTGGATGGGTCACATAGAAAGAAAAAACAAGTGACAGTCTGCTTCAGATTTTCAATTAGTAAGAAAGAAAAACCTCCAATACATATAAAAAAAAACCAAGGTACTGACTGATTAGGAACCCTGAAGTAATCCATGGACTAATGATGGAATGGCACAAGAAAAGGAAAAAACACAAAATAGACCCAAGGCAAAATTTTGACACGTTAGTACATCCTTTTTATTTATTAATTCCTCCAAATGTATTACTGTGCTACAGCTTTCTAGGAAATAGCTTAAAGGCAAAAATATTTAAAAAGTAAAAACAAATACTTAGAAATTACAAATGTGTTTTATCCATTAAAAAGTCACTGATGACTATAATTTACTTTGAGCTTTTATCAGAAAAGCTAACCATTGAGGCAAAAAAAATATAAACAAAGGGCTGTATTAATTAAACTGTTTTTAAGACATTGGGTGACCTAGGGGAAAATAATTATTGATTTCCTGAGTTAATCCTCAAATGCATTATTTATAGTTTTCTCTGTGTTTATCTTTTCTGAGTTCCCAGGATACAAGAACTCTGCCTGAAGCTACCAGTTGCTGAAAGTAAGCGGAATCTAACTATGCAGATTTTTCTTTTAATTAATTCTGTAAAGCTTTTTAATAAGGGTATCATTTCCCCCCAAATATAGGGTGATCATTGGTAAAAGGAACCACAGAATTAATCACTGAAAAGAGTTATAAAAAAAAAAAAGTTAAAGGACAGGGAGGAAGACTCAGACATACAGATATTAAAAAGTCATTTCATCACATCTGAACATTCAGCACATGAGTTCCTCTTTTTACTATAATGGGGCCAAGCTATGAAGAAAATAAGTTAACCTGAGTTAGAATTCAATTACTCAATGGTACCTAAAAAGATAGGGCAAAATTTTTCCATTCTTCTTTTCCCTTAATCTTATTTCATAAATGCAGAAATCCAGAGCCCAAGTACTGGGAGAGTACCATAGTTCCTCTTAAATAATTTTCTCATCTGGGGATTTTAACATGTTACATATTTTGTTTTTCATGGGTACGAAATAGGGGCCAGACCTAACGTTTAATAAATTTACTGACCACCCATTATGTGCTACTAGTAAGTACTGTGCAAAGTATTAGGATCAAAGGAAAAGACATTGGGGAAGAAAGGAAGAGATATTAATAAATGATAAGCTATAAAATAAAAACCCATAAGGAAATCCAGCTTTAAAAAGCACAAAACCCATTCACACAGTTAATTCAATATTTCCAGAGGAGGAGCATAGGAATTTTTAACAAGTGCTTCCAGGAATAAATATACAAGACAAAAAAAGCCCTGATGTATCTAAAAATCACTTCCACTGTAACAGATTATGATCTTATAAACACTAATGTTTACTTTATGAATGGTTGGTAATCCACAAGAAAAAAAAAAAAAAAGACTATGACTTAAGTGCCTGATATGAAATAACTACCTACAGAGGAGGTACACATAATTTATAGTGAGTATACAGATTTGCACAAAAAATATTATGCAGGCTTGGGAATGACCTTTAGATACAATAGGACAGAACTATGCTGAGGGCAGGACATTTGATGCAAAGACCCTAGATTATGAATACCTTTACTACAAAGGATAAAGTAAAACAAAATATTTTATATAGAGATTCATAATAAATTTTTAAGCCCTGACTGGTTTGGCTCAGTGGATAGAGCGTTGGCCTGTGGACTGAAGGGTCCCAGGTTCGACTCCAGTCTAGCCATGTACTTTGGTTGCAGGCACATCCCCAGTGGGGATTATGCAGGAGGCAGCTGGTTCATGTTTCTCTCTTGTCGATGCTTCTAACTCTCTATCCCTCTCACTTCCTCTCTGTAAAAAATCAATAAAATATATATTTTTTTAAAAGAAATTTTCAAAAGTTTTCAAATCCATAAAACATGTATATAAATATAACATTTATAAGATTAAAAAAATCCACAACAAAACATTTCAATTGCAGATCTTCAGAAAAAAATAACCCCCCCCCAAAGATGAGATAGATTTACACATATGATCAAAGCCATACAATAACATTTTATAAGCTGTGCATAAAAATGAAAAGTCTAGCCTGTTTTTAGACTGAAGAGGGTGAAAGCATCTCAAAGAAGAGAATTATGCTGGGGTCTAGACTTTAGGCTTCATTATCTGGGAGATGAACTAAATGAAGATACAGTTATAACAAAAGGATTGAAAGAAATACAGTTGAACCACTGCCATAGCAACAGAATTCCTAACTTCTCATGCATAAGCTACTGTTTCTCCCTGAACATAAAAATATTGCAAGGCACACTGCCTGACCAAAACCACGATTCTGAATAATAAAGACTTGAGTTCCTAGAAGGACTGAGAGGAAGGCCCTATTGCCCTGAGCAGGACGCAAAGAAGAAGGAACTTGAACACCAAGTAGGCTGGGTAAGTATCACCGAGATAAAATGAACATTTTGGGAGGACTTACCATACCTGTCTATTCAAAGCACCAACTCCCTTCTGGAACCCATGCCTGTGCCTAACCTCTCACCTACTTGACTACACATTTGCCCTATTTAAAATCCTGCTCCATGTGCCGTCTTTCATAATGCTCTTTTCTTTTTTTAATATATTTTATTGATTTTTAACAGAGAGAAAGGGAGAGATAGAGAGCTAGAAACGACGATGAGAGAGAAACATTGATCAGCTGCCTCTTGCACACCCCCTACCGAGGATGTGCCCGCAACCAAGGTACATGCCCTTGACCGGAATCGAACCTGGGACCTTTTAGTCCGCAGACCGATGCTCTACCACTGAGCCAAACCGGCTTCGGCTCATAATGCTCTTTTCAACTAAATATTCAAAATTTCATCTTACTGTCCTTCATTTATGCCACATTCACTTCTATTTTTTTAAAAATAATGTATTTTTATTGATTTCAGAGAGGAAGGAAGAGGGAGAGACAGAAACATCAGTGATGAGAGAGAATCATCAATTGGCTGCCTCCTGTATGCCCCACACTGGGGATCAAGCCCACAACGGGGGTATGGGCCCTGACCGGGAATCAAATCATGACCTTCTGGTTTGTAGGATGATGCTAAACCACCAGGCCACGCAGGCCAGCCTCAACGCTCACTTCTTACAGGAAGTCAGCTCTGATCAGCTCCATCCGTCTGGGTTATTCTAATCACTCCTCAGAGATCAATCTCGTCTTGTTGATAACTGTAATGTTGGAATAAAGCACCTGACTCTGCCACATAATTGGGTTTTCTGGGGACCAAGATGAGTTCCTCAAGTAAAGGGCATCTCTTCCTTATAAACCAGCACATGGAAGAGGGCTTTATGATTTCACACCTGTGGTATCAGGAATATGAGTGTGTTTTTTATAAGCTTTCTAAAATGAGGGGGTTACTTATTTCTAATCTCTCCCATTGCACTCAGCTTCCTATGGGCTCCCCATAATATCTCCTCATTTTGGGTACTCAGTCAGAAAATTACACTTAATGACTGCCTTGATCTCTCTGAATGCTAAATTAGTTGGAAGCAGGGACAAGAACCGAGGCTCTAAAATTACCCACGGAGTGACTCAGCAAATATATGCCGAGCAAAGATCATAAAATGTTCAAGCTAGGTCCACATTTTCCTGGAGATAAAGGCTTAGGGAGAGGAAGAATTTTGCTCAAGAGGAATTTGGCCAATATTACACACCTTTTTCTTTTTTCTTTTTCTTTACTTTTTTTTTTTTTTTTTTTTTTTTACAAACCTTTTTCTGATGCGTTTTGTCCTGGATTTAGCAGGTCCTCAGAAGCACAAGAATAAAATGTGAGGGAAGGGGATTTGTCAGGAGGCTGGCTCCCCTGCTGCCCTAACACAGCTTTCAGCTGGTCCATTTCCTGCTTGATCTTGATCAGGTTGTCTTGCATGGTATCCCTCTGCTGCAGATACAAAAAAATGACATAAAGTTACATTCTTTTAGAAATTTGCCAGAACACAAGAGTATGTCATACCAATTAATTTTAGCATGGGAATTAAAATCACCTACTATGGAATTATAAATTCTGGCTGAATGCCTTTTAATCCAACCATATTCATGCAGTGAATGCCTATGAAATGATTTCAGAATGATGTTCAAGGGGGGAGGGGAAAATTCCTACATTCTCCCAAATAGACTTGCTTTATTTTGTTGTGATGTCCTTCTGAAGTTGATTTCTTTTTTTTTTAAAGCTCAGGAGCGGGGGGGGGGGGGGGGAATAATTAAGATGCTTATAATACTTTTGATATTTAAAATTAGCATAACTACGTTAACATTTTACATAGACTGTGTTTCAAAGACTTAGTATTGTGGGACTCATAAGAGATATGGATTAGTTCATATGAAAATGTCTGATTTCTGGTGTGTGAGGACACTTCTTTTTTCTGAGATTCTTTGAACATTTAATTTCTAACAGAAAGTACAAAGAGCTAATTCATTAACTTATCTATTTGCTCACTCAACAACTATTTGTTGACCATCTATTATATGTCAAACACTGTCCTAGTGCTGGGAATATAGTCCGCATGGTCCTGCCATTCTAGATGGGACAGGGTACCTAGAGAACTTCACAGAGGAGGACCTGTTAGAGGGAAGGACCCCACAGAAACAGCCCTAGTAAAGCCTGTAAAGACAGTTATTGTTTTCAACTCAAGATAAGGGTCTTCTCTGCTTATGGGGCTCATGATGTTTATTTCTCCACTTCAAAAAGAAATCTGGCCAAAACCGTTTTTGTTCAATGGATAGAGCATTGGCCTGCGGACTGAAAGGTCCCGGGTTCGACTGCAGTCAAGGGCACATACCTTGGCAGCTGATCGATGTTTCTAACTATCTCTCTCCCTTCCTCTCTGTAAAAAATCAATAAAATTTATTTTTTTTTTAAAGAGAAAGAAAGAAAGAAAGAAAGAAAGAAAGAAAGAAAGAAAGAAAGAAAGAAAGAAAGAAAGAAAGAAAGAAATCTGTGTCCTGGCTAGTGTTCTCAGGTTAGAGCATCACCATGCACCGATGGGTCACAGACCTGATACCGAGTCAAGGGCATGTACCTGCATTACAGGTTCCATCCCTGGCCAGGTTCAGGCTCTTGTGGGAGGTAACCAATTGATGTGTCTCTCACATTGATGTTTCTCCCTCTCCCTTCTATGCTCTCTAAAAAGCAATGGAAAAAAGTATCCTCGGATGAGGATTAAAAAAAAAAGAAGAAAGAAAGAAAAGGGTAGCTGGTAGTGCAATTGGTTAGTGCCTTATCCAGATACACCAAGGTTGTGGGTTCAATCCCTGGTCAGGGCACATACAAGAATCAACCAATGGATGCATAGAATAAGTGGAGTAACAAATGGATGTTTCTCTTTCTCTAAAATCAATGACTTAGCCAAAACCTGTTTGGCTCAATGGACAGAGCGTCGGCTTGGGGACTAAAGGGTCCCGGGTTCGATTCTGGTCAAGGGCATGTACCTTGGTTGCGGGCATATCCCCAGTAGGGGGTGTGCAAGAGGCAGCTGATCGATGACTTTCTCTCATCGATGTTTCTAGCTCTCTATCTCTCTCCCTTCCTCTCTGTACAAAATCAATAAAATAAATAAATAAAATCAATGACTTAAAAACAACACCCTCGAAGGCTAAAATAAAAGCATTGATTAATTAAAAAAAAAATTCCTAAGTCTAAGTGTTTTCTTTCTTTTTTTTCTTTCTGTTTTCTTCTTTCTTGAGTCTAAGGTTTCTGATAAGCAAGTTATTTCATAATTAAGGAGATTTACAAAATATACCTTCTTCATTACTTTTAAAATGAACAATGGTTGCCAGCAAACCCTGGGGAAATAGATTGTTTCATCCTCCATTTCTTCTCATCCTTAAAAATGACTGTCCACCACTGAAAACTAGCCAGCTACTTTCTCCTGCTACACCGAGTAATTTTCAGGTTTTTACGGCCAGAAAATGTATTCCCAGCTTCACAAAGGCTCCCAGTGCTACCCTGATACTTTTTTGCTGCCACTGTCCGCAGTAGCGCCACTGCCACCACGTGGTGCTTGTGAGTAGTTCCGTTACTGATCAAGAAGGGCTTGCCTAAGGAAATTTGGAATGGAATCAGATATCCGTAAGCTTCGGAAGCTGTACTAGTTGTTACTATCATGACCATCACATCTAACCTCTATGTGGCCTTTAAACAGGTTAGGAAACCAGAAAAAAATAGCAATGGGAGAATTAGTTAACTTTCCTTTAGGTTTTCCCAAACGAATTACTTTATAACTTGGACAATTCCCATAGAGGCAATTGGCCAGATACATTTGGGAGACCAAAACCAAATTGGTTACTAAGTTTTCTTGATTCTAATTCTTGAGTGTTTCTTAAATTAGCCCTAATCTTCTATTTCCTGCTATGCTACTCTGATCTTTTACATTTTACTTTTTTGAGTATTCCTAAGATTTTATTTGAGCCAAACTGACAACAGTTGCTGGGAAGCAAGATCTCAAATGCTTCCTGATCTCTACTTTTAAAAAATATATATATTTTATTGATTTTTTTTTTTACAGAGAGGAAGGAGAGAGAGACAGAGAGTTAGAAACAACAATGTGAGAGGAGCATCAATCAGCTGCTTCCTGCACACCTCCTACTGGGGATGTGCCCACAACCAAGATACATGCCCTTGACCTTTCAGTCCGCATGCGGATGCTCCATCTACTGAGTCAAACTGGTCTCGGCTAGGGCAGCTTTCAATACACAGTTACATTACTGTGGAAGTTCCTTAAATGCATGTTTATCTTGCCTCTTTCTTCCATAATGGCTATGGTGGTGGTATACCACTGCTCAGATAAGGTAACGCTTTCTGAAAGCTAAATAATTATTACATTATAGCCCTCAGAATAAAGCCCAAATTCCTAAGCAGAGATATTCAGAAGGCCTTTTATACCCTCTTATCTCTTAATTCTCCCCAAACCACCCATAAGCCCTGTTTTCTAGTTGCACAGGACAGATTTGTGCTTCCTGGGCATTTTATGTCGTTGTGCATCTGCCTGGGTTGCTGCCTCTCTTCTTTTTCCACCTGGAAAAATTCTTCTCATCTTTCAAGGCCCAGTTTAAATGTCTCCTTTGAAAGTCCCCACCAACAGGTGATCCCTCACTACTTCATTTATACTAATGCATTAGCAGACCAAAGTGGAATACGTAACCCTCCTTTGATACAGTACTGCTTTCATATTTTTGCTATAGGAAACATGAGTTTTGATCGTTTGGCTTATTCATTAAATTCAGTATGTAGTATTTTGCAGTGAGCTCAGTGGTATGTACGTGAGTATGTATGAAATAAAAGGTAGCATGAGTTCCTGGCAGGTGATTATAATCTAATTGAGGAGGCACGGTACCACATACAACTGTTATGCCACTGATTCTAAGGGATGATAAAAGCCAATGCAAGAATGCAGGATTCATACTACTGAATGCACAAGACACCACACATACATCCACACATGCTTTTTACCTGAGTTGTTAAAATTTCGCTCTGGGAGGAGAGCCCTGAACAGTCTTCAGAGAGGTTTGTTTCACTCTCGTATTCAAATGCTGCTTCATCTAAACGATAATAAAAAGAGGGATTCAGATGTAAGGACAGACAGCAAATACTGCAATCTGCTGTATGTTTCTTCCCATTGGCAGGCAAGTATCACTTTCATGCCACTCAAAATGATTACGCTCCTTGTGTTGAGATACACCTGATTTCTTCTAGAAACAACCATGAAAATCAGAAGCAAGTCCACCAACAACTGGGGCACTAAACCTCATTCAAACAGAGATGTTCCAGCGAGGTGAAGGACTTTTAAGGAAAAGTACCTTAGGAGGAGCATGCTTAAAGTTTAAGGAGCAGCTACTTTAGTGGTACTTCAAAACTCATAGTGTGCTCCCCCAAAAGGCAAAACATTCAGCTATTTCCATAAAATACCTAAGTCTGAATCCGCACTCTGCTCTTCTTGATTTTCCTCTGACAGGCCGGTTTCCCTCTCGTCATCGTCATCGTCTGAAATCAATTCCTTGTCGCTCAGAACTTCCTGGTTTTCAGAATGACACCTCATTTGCTTGGAAGGAGGATCAAACATCAAGAAAGGATCCTGGGTGTTTGTATTAGCGGTCAAGTCCTCTGGTGCACTGCGCTGTGAGGAAAATAAGCTTCTAGAATATCTTTCTTCCTCACTAAGGTTATGTTCTTGGGATGCCTTTGTTGACATGACCTGGTTATTGCAGTTATTTAAGCTACTCTTTAATGATACCAGGTTCCCCTCTGTTTTATTGGACTGATTCTCTGTGGCAACACGGTTACGTCTGGTAGACGGAGAAGGTATTTTGGTTACTTTACCAAATAATAAATGTTGGAAGCAAGGAAGCTCTTCGTCCTCACTAGACGTGTCCTCTTCCGAGGACTCCAATTTCCTGGCCCTTCTTTGGCGACCCCGAGTCAAATGTGTATGGGCGAAGGGGCTAGGGCTCCTTCTGAATTCTTCTTTCTGAACACCTTTGCTAAAAACAGCAGATCTTTCCTTAATGCCACTGTCATCAAAGCCGCTATTCTCCTTTGTTTCGTCATCAGTTAACAAGTCATCCGGTGTCTCAGAACAAACCTGAGAAACAGGACTCCCTCCCATAGGTTGTTCTAGGTTCTGTGAAATGTGACATGGAGGAATATCTGCATTAACAGCCTGAACTGCTGCTTCACTGTCTCCTTCCCTTTTTATTTCAGGCTGTTTACAGTTACTTATGGGAAGGCTCGGCTTATAGACTTCGGGTTGCATGAGACCTAATCTGAGCATAGGATTTAATGTTGACCCTTTGTTTATAGCTAGTTCTGCCTGAATGTTTTCACCACTGGAACCTACTTCATTGACACTAGAGCCTCCTTCATTAGTACTGCTTGAGCTGCTGGCTTTAAAAGCGCTTCCTCTAATGTTACTTAGGCTAATTGGGCTCGCTGTACTCTGCATGGTCTCATTTCCCATTGCTCTTTCAGGGGACACTGAATATTCCTCAAACGTTTCCTCTGACGGGTTTTTCTTACTTCCAGTTTTAACGAATGGCCTGATGGGAGAAATGGATGGTATATGATATGGGTTTTGTGAAATTCCATGTTTATCTGCAATAGCGAGTTCAGTTTCGTTGTCTCTGAACTGAGAGGACTGACAACACTTAGAGGTTCCTTGTACGCTGTCTTTGGCATCCTCGACTGGCTGTTTGTCTTTCTCACAAGCCACAGGAGAGCCTACAGTTGTGTGAACTGCCTGTTCGTGCTTGGTTTTAGGTTCTTTCTTTCGCTGACTTTCTTCTTTTTGTCCACATTCAAGAGTGACTTTTGGACTTTGTTTCCTTAAAGACGGGGAGTGAGCGTAGACAGTTGCATGTTCCTTTTCAGGATTTGAAAACAGAGCAAATGACTGGCGCTTTGAAACCTTAAATGTATTCTGTAAATACTGTATATCAAGTTCACTGTCTTCCAGTTCTGTGCCTGTCCCCTGAGTGTGGTTAGCTTCACATCTCAATAGCTCCTTGAAGACCTCTCTGCCATTTCTCGTATCTTTAGAACCACTACAAATAAGTTCTTTAGGATTTTTAGTCGCTGCACACAGATCCCCACACTCATTTGGAGCTGTTTTTGCCTTCCCTGGGGTGTCAGGTCCCAGTAATGAGAGACTATCCTGGGTGCTATAATCAGTTTCAGGTACCAATACAATATTGTTACTCTCCGAAGATCTATCTGTTTGCACACTTCTTCCTTCACTTAGTATCAGATCTTTGAGGTCTTTGGTACTATCAGGCATTTGAACTGTTCCTAGGTTCTCTTCTGTTTCTTCTCTTTGTAGGTTAGTATTGACAAATTCTTGAAGTTTATAAGAACTTGAACCATTAGTGAAAACACCCGGTATGCTTGTTAAGTTTAGTTCTAGAAAAGCATCACTGGCAAGTTTTTTATTTATTTGTTCATCTGACTTATTACGCTTCTTGGCTCCAGATGCAGATTCTTTACCTTCCACGAGTTGAAGCTTCTTTCTGTGTCTGACTGGTATTTGGTCAGAATTCTTTTCCTTCACCTCTTCACTGCTAGAACAACTATCGATTTGCAGTTCAATGTTGTTAGGTGGGCTTGGATTTCTATTGACTACTAGTTCAAGTGCACAAATATGCCTGGTAGAGGACTTCCTCTTCAGCCTGTTCTTCTTAGGTGCTTTTGAACTGTGAACATTTAATTCCAGTTCCATATTGCTTATGCTGCTGCTTATAGGTTTAGCTTCAGTTGTGAAAGCAGATGCTTTTTCCAATGATTCTGTTAGGTTAGCATTTTTCTCTTTCTGAACATAATCGCCTTTTGTTTCATTCTCATGACCATTATTAGTAATATTCATCTCGTGACCATTCTGTTCTATTCGGGCAGTTCCCTCAATGATCTCTTCAGGAGACTTTTGAACAACTGCCAAATCTACTTTCTTGATAAAATCCTCAGGATGAAGGCCCGATGTACGTCTCCTTTTACGCTTGAGTTTATTTTTGAGGGGACACTCTTGTGTTATCTGAGGTTCAATAGCAGGTGCTCCTATAATTAGATTTTCAGTTACATGGCTCAAGTTAGGGAGGCTTGCCTTCCTCCGATAGGTTTTCCCAAATATTTTATCTTCAATATTACTTTCTACTGGTTTGGAGTGAACTCTTTCACTTTCACATATTAAAGCACCACAAGGATCAGGGGCCATTAAGTTTATTTTCCCTGGAGAACCAGGATACCCATCTACTTCATTTGGATCTTCCACTGCACCAGCTACTTCAACATCTGACTCAGGCTTCCCATTATGTGAGCCATCAGAAGTTAGTATTTCATCACGTTTGGAAAACCACTCATTAACTTTCTGAATGCTATTGCTCCGTTTTATCCAAGGCACATCTTGGGAATCTCTAGGATGGTCAGAGCGTGGAAGTTCTTTTCTCCCATTCAGAGAACCAGCATTCAGAATTACCCTTTCCTCGGTGCTGGGAGTCTGCCCATCATTACATGTTTCTTTACTTTCAGCCCATCTGCTCTGCTGGCTCCTTGCTAAGCCAGGCTGCTTGCTTTTATTACAGAATTCAGCCTTTTCTACATCCATTCTGTCTTTAGTGAGTAGTAAACTGCTGTTCTCATGCTGTAATGAGCTGGCATGAGTATCTGGGCCACAGGGCTCCACATGTGAGTTTGAAACCGAAGTTCCCTCATACTTTTCTGTATGCTTCTCAGCTGCATGCTTCCCAGTGGTGGGCAAATCCTTATTACTGGATTGACGATGTTCAATGTTTGTTATGTCCCCAGAAAAGTCACAAGCAGCTGAAAGTATACAAAAACAATAGATAATTTACAAATGAAATTATCATGAAAAAATATACGTGCTTAAACAACTTGAAACATTTGGCTATTTTTAGAGAAACTATCCTTTTAAACAACCAAGTATACTAAAGTTATAGCTCACACTCTTTCATGTACAGTGGTGCCTCACATAAAGAACGCCTCGCACAGCGAACGCTGCACACAACGAACTTCATTTCATGATTCATACAACGAACTTCGTTTCACACAACGAAGTCGCCCGAGCTTCCACGACCGCTTTGCCCGAGCTTCCACGACTGCTTCGCCCGAGCTTCCACGATCGCTGCCGATGTATTGCATCCTTCCACGCAGGCACTGCAGGCAGTCGTTAGTCACTGCGCTTAACTTAAGCACGTATCGCGGCAATCGTTCTTCATTACGAATTAAATCACGCACGTATCACGGCAGTCGTCCTTTTAAGTTAAACTCAATATTTTTTTTATATCATGGCTTCTAAAAAAAGCAGGAAGGTGATTTCAGGTTTTTCATGAAACCATCGGCCAAAAAGCAGAAAATGGATGAAGATGTGCAAGATTCGGTAGACTCTACTTAGTCTGTCTTAAAATTAAAAAAAATGTGTGTGTGTTTTTTTTTTTAATTATGTTTTTAGATGTATCTAAATAAAAATAATAACAAAAAATTTATCTTTTTTATGTCATCTTAGCATATTTTATGCTACAGAACGAATTATTTTTTTTAACATGTATTGTTATGGGAAAACACGTTTCACATAACGAACTTTTCGCGTAACAAACTTGCTCCTGGAACGAATTAAGTTCGTTGTGTGAGGCACCACTGTAATTCCTTTTATTCTCATTAGCTCCACTCAAAAATAATTGCAATTTTAATGTCAGAATTCTCCCTACTCATAAGCCACACCTCCTATTTCCCTAACCTGTAACAGTGAGTTAAAAGCAGACTTTACGCAGCAGACATACTGTGCTCTGTTCTATCTTCAGACTCATACCCCCTATATTTAAATACCAGTATACAAAAGATGAAATATAAACACATAAATTTAAAGTAAAAGGCAACAACCAGACATGAAGGATGCTATTACAATCACATCAGTCTAGTCAACTGAAATAGATCAGGCTGTACCATAACATCTAAGGAAGAATGATATTCTAACTGTGCCAAGAGATGTTGTGAATTATAAATGTCCCAAATGATCTTCAGAATAATGTAATTATAGTACTGTATCTACCCATTCTCTCTTCAGTGCCTGATACTTTGGGAAGACTTGCCATTACCCTTTTTTGCAGGATTCACTTTGGCTTCAACCTTGGCTCCTTGAGGAGTGATTTGTAACCGTTCATGATTTCTCACTCTATAGGGAAAAGACAAAAGCCTTAATGAGAAACACTAGTTACATGCTCAAAGAGCTGTCAAATGAACAAGATCAAGTATTTTAGCTCTTTTAGGTAGGGTGGCCAAATCTCCTCTCTCCTTTAATAACTTCTAGTCAAAATGAAAGGATCAAATACCAACACACAGTCACAACAAACCAGAGCAGGAGTGCAGAATACTGCTTTATGGACATGCAAATGAGAAGCAAAATTTAAATGATAGTCCATTTAAGTACAAACAATAACCAAAAAACAGTAAAACAAAACAAAACAAAACAAAAAAAACACACACCACAAACCCCACAAAACTTAAAAGGATATCTTAATGAGACTGCAGGAACAAAGATATTTAAACAAAACAAGCACTGAGATGAAGAGACTTCCCAATAGTAAGCAAAGAATGCAGCATTCTACTGCTCAGCCTTCTGTGCTTCTTTTCAAGCTTAAAACCACTTCCTCTCTCAATTGAGAGATTAGGAAAAAATCACTTGCAAACAAAATATGATTGGCAATGACATCATTGTAGTTCAGACAAAGCATCATAGATCTTAAGGTGAAGCAATAATTCCTAAGGAAAGCAATTTGCCATGTAACACAGTTGGGAGCTGCTTGTAGATTGTTGTATAATTTACATAAAGTTTGAGGGATAGATGAAATTAAGAAACAGAGAAAGGAAAGAAAAATGGAATCATCTAATATTTTCATCAGCTATAATTATCACTGTGTCAACACTACTGTACATGAGGAACTAAGCTAGAATAGAGCAGAACCATCTGGTGGGTATTATTCTGTGCAGAGTTGTTATTTTAAATTCATTTGGACTCTACTAAAAAATTAAACATACAAGGGCCTTGGCTGGGTAGCTCAGTTGGTTAGAGTACTGTCCTAATATTCTAAGGTTGCAGGTTTGATCTCTGGTCAGGGCAAATACAAGAAGCAACCAATGAAAGCATAAATAAGTGGAATGACAAATCAGTGTTTCTCTCCCTCCCTCAAATAAATAAAATAAGATATAAAATAAAATAAAAAAATATATTAGCCTAGCTGGTGTGGCTCAATGGCTGAACATTGACCTATGAATCAGGATGTCATGGTTCAATTCCTGGTCATGGCACAGGCCCAGGTTGTGGGTTCGATCCCCAGTAGGGGGCATCCAGTAGGCAGCTGGTCAATGATTCTCTCGTTATTACTGTTTTTATCTCTTCCTTTCCCTTCTTCTCTGAAATAAACAAAATCATATTTTTAAAAAATAAGATTAAAATATATGGTCTATTCCAGTGCCATAACTCTAACCTAAAAAACAAAACAAAAACCAATCCTTAATATTAACTAACCACAAAAATGCCAGCTTACTAGACAAAGGCTCCCTTTGACTCACCTGTGATAACTTGCTTTATTAGTCATATCTTCAGAAGAATCAGATCCTAAAAAGAGTTTCCCAAATAACAAATCAATAAAAAAAATTTTATTGAAAGGATTAAACTAAACTAAAATAAAAACGACTTTTTGCAAAACAGATACTCATTCAAGAAATATTTCCTAAGCACCCACTGTATGGCAGGTACAATGATACATATGCCAGGAAATAGAGAAGTAGTTGTAAGCACAGGCTCTGAAGCCCGAATGCCTAGGTTTGAATCATGGCTCTGCCACAGAGTAGCTTCACTAGCTTGGCCAAATTTCTTAACCTCTCTGTGCCTTAATTTCCTCATCTATAAAAATAATAATATAATAATGTTAACAACTACAGGGTCTGTCAGGCCTCTTACATGAATTTTGTAAGTGAAGTACAACAGTGCGTGGACTATCCTCAGTGCTCCTAAATATTTGCTATTACAATTATTCTTCCAAATGTTGTAGCCAGCCCATCATGTTCTTTCTTGTTCCCACTTCCCATTTTTCCAAAGTATAGTAAATCTTCACATAATATCAAATGGTTCTGTGACTTCAAGCAAAATGACAAATAACAAAACCAATTTTACCATAGATTAATGGATATGAATGAGAGTTACATTCCTTTGGCATCTCATCCAAGTTATAAAGAGTCATTATAAAGAGCCTGGCCGGTGTGGCTCAATGGTTGATCATCAATCTAAGAACCAGGCAGTTATGGTTAGATTCTGGGCCAGGCCACATGCCCAGGTTGCAGGCTCAATTCCCCAGTAGGGGGCATGCAAGAGACAGCTAATCAATGATTCTCTCTCATTGATGTTTCCATCTCTCTCCCTCTCCCTTTCTGAAATCAATAAAAATTTTAAAAAAATAAAAAAGACTAGCAACTACTGTTCTAAACTTAAAAAATCTGAGACTCTTACCCAATTCAATGTAGACAGACTTTTTCTGGGATTGTACCTGCTGCTTTGTCCTCCGTGATCTCACAATTCCAAAGTTAGAGAGTTGGGCACCAAGTCTGTTTTCCTGCTAAGCAGTAAAAAATGATGAACTAATTATTGGCCAATTCTATGCTTTTTTCCTTGAAGAGAAACTTGAGGCCATGTTTCTATCTCTCTCTCCCTCTCCCTTCCTCTCTGAAATCAATAAAAGTATATTTAAAAAGATAAAATTGTTTAAAAAATATTTGAATTATGTTCTAGTAGTTTGAATATTTTTTCCTCTGTTGTTTTAAATTTTTCTAAACAAGGCCCTGACTGGTTTGGCTCAGTGGCTAGAGCGTAGGCTTGTGGACTGAAGGGTCCTGGGTTCGATTCTGGTCAAGGGCACGTGCCTGGATTGTGGGCTCAATCTCCAGTAGGGGTGTGCAGGAGGCAGCCAATCAATGATTCTCTCTCATCACTGATGTTTCTATCTCTTTCTCCCTCTCTCTTCCCTCTGAAATCAATAAAAATATACTTTAAAAAAGTATATTTTGTAGCTAATACTTTATATAATAGTACAGTAATAATACAGAATGGAAATAAGGTTCATTTGGTATACATTTCTAATAACATCTGCACATCTGATAACAGGATTCGCAACTAAGATAAAATATATTTCTTAATTATTTCTTTTTTTATTGATTAAGGTATTACATGTGTCCTTATCTCCCCCACTGCCCCCACCCCCCCTAAAATAAAAGTTTGAAAAAGATAAATAATAACCCTGCAGTCAATCCTTAGGTCATTCAGTAAAAACCCAACATTATTCCAATGAAGTTTTCCTTCTTTTTGAATCCTTCAACATCTACTGAAAAATGAACGTTGGTAGAGAAGGAACTATTGTTTTTGAGATCTCCATTATTCATTCACATATGTGTAACAAGAGTAAATCATCGCCATTATTTTATTTTGCCATTATTATTATTATTTTTTTACAATTATACCTTTTAAGTTGAAACAATTTTCTTTTCTTTTTTTAAATTTATTTTTATTGTTGAATGAAGCAATCTTCAAATGTTAAAACAGATTTTCTTTTCAGGCCATTTTTCAGAGGAAATAAAATAAACATACTTCTTCATGCCTGAAGAATTGCCATAAGATGGTTATTATAAAATCTAGCAAGCTTAAAACTATCAGTGACCTTGTGGCATAGACAAGCATGGGGATGGATAAAGCACTAAATCAGGGGAAGAACCTGTAAGGTCTCTCCTGACCACGCTAGGTACACAGACCTTCTCTCAACAATTCTAACTCTTGTTCATCAGAACAGTTGTCCAACCACTTAATTTACCATCTTCCTTGTTTACCGACTTTTTATATAAATCCATGAGCATCTAGCACACTCACTAATTCACAACACTCAGTAAAAAGATTTTACCAGAATAAATGAAAATGGCTTTACCGAGGTAGGATTTTCAGGTTCTCTCTGTCGAAGTTTTATGGCCCGGTTTCGGAAGCCCAGACTTTCTATCATAGGAACTTCCTCATTTAGAGGCTCAGGAGAGTTATTTTCCTTTTTTGAAAAGTTGTAACTGTTTGTAACTGTGAATTACAAGGGAAAACATTATTTTTATAATTGCCATCAAAGAACCAAGAGAAATTCTCTGTATGCTCTTTGTTATATATTAAGACAATGCAGCAAAGGCTACCTATACTTTTTTAAAATAAAACTTTGGAAATTCTACTCTTTCGAATCAAACACACAGACCGTCAAAGTTATTTCTACTAACAAATTCGCCTATTAATCAAAGCTCACTGATTCTAAGATACCCATAATGTAAGAAGCACCATTATTTTCTATATCACTAAGAAAGAAAACACACAATTAAACAATGACACACCACTGATGATAAATTGTCCCCAGCTTTTGTGAAAAAACTTGCATCTTGGGATGGATAAAATAAGATGTGAGACCAGTGGGAATGATTTAACAAACAAATTACAGGTAAAGGGCTAAAATTAAACTAGACCAAAAGGTCTTATCACCTATTTATAGAAAATTATGTAAACCTCCTTCAGAGTATTTTTTATTTTTTGTTAATCTTCACCCAAGTGTATTTTTCAATTGATTTTTAGAGAGTAGAATGGAGGGGGAGAGACACACACACAGAGAGAGAGGAACATGATGTGAGAGAGACACAGATTGGTTGCCTCCTTCCAAAACCCCAATCAGGGCTGGGGATGGAGCAGAGCCTGCAATGGAGATACATGCCCTTGACCATAATTGGCTAGGGCTCCTCCTGAGTTTTAAATGACAGCCACTTGAACATTGGTCCCTGGGGCTATACAACACTTACATGGCAATCCTGTATCAAGTTCAAAAGCATGAATGATTTTCAATAGCTCTTCAACAAGTTGACTAAATCTTGTACTTTCTTGTAGGCTTCTGAAATTAAATCATTTGGGAGACATACTTACAAAGTAATTATCAACTTTTTAAGGACTTTTAAAATAAGGAAAGACACATACAATACTAAAAAAAGATGCAGCCAAAGCTGAAAAACTGAATTCAAAGAACAGAGCTATTAGTGACATCACATAATCAAAACATCACTGATATCAGTACTGATTATTTTTGTAATATTTTCTTTTTTGCCATTTAAATCTACCAAAAGCCTGTAACTATTGAAAATACAATAGAACTATGAATCCACAGTAAATATAAATCCACTGCATAGAGAACTTATTATTCTTACCATCTGAGCCCCATCCACTTAACATCCCACTTCTAGTTATCAGGGATTTCTGTCAAATGATGTTTACATGATTTGGAAAGCACAAACAGATGCCAGTGTCCAAAGGAAGATTCTGATTTAGGAAAGTTTTCATTTTCCCTTTAAATATCTGAGTGACCACAATATGCCAAACATTGGAAAAGCCGTGTTGACTGAGACAGACAAAGCCAGTGCCCTGACAGAACTTAAATTCCAACCAGAGGGATACACAATATAGAAATACTCTAGGGGCACAAATTCATGCACCTTGAAAGAAACTGTGGGCCACGAGGCTGCGGCGGGCACAGGGGCAGGGGAAGATAGAGAAACCCTGAGGGACAATTGGGGCTGGCAGCCACTGCTTGCCCCAGCTAATGGCACAGAGCGATCAGGGCCGGTGCCAGGAGCCAGCAGTGGGTGCAAGAGGGGTCAGTGCCCGCAGCAGATGTGAGAGTTGGGCGGGACTGCGGCGTGTGGGAGCAAAGAATTTTCAGTAACTATCAGAGGCTCGCCCCGATGACAGTGACCGGCACCCCGCCTTGTTCCGGCACCCCCACTCACCTGTTCCACCATCCCACCGCAGCCAACACCCCACCATGTTCCTCGTGCGCCCCCTGGTGGTCAGCACACGTCATAGCGACTGATTGTTCCACCATTTGTTCTATTTGCATATTAGCCTTTTATTATGTAGGATTATTATATAGGATTGCGTGTATGTAAATAATTAAGTAGAAATTATTGTAGAAGAAGAAAAATAAAAGGATCAGGAGACAATGGGGGCAGGTAGTCTTCAGATAAGACTGCAAGTTCTTACACCATTCAGAAGCATTAGAAAAATGCATGTTGCTAGCCGGGACTGGTTTGGCTCAATGGATAGAGCGTCGGCTTGGGGACTGAAGGGTCCCGGGTTCGATTCCGGTCAAGGGCATGTACCTTGGTTGCGGGCATATCCCCAGTAGGGACTGTGCAGGAGGCAGCTGATCGATGACTCTCTCTCATCAATGTTTCTAACTCTCTATCTCTCTCCCTTCCTCTCTGTATAAAATCAATAAAAAAATATATTTTAAAAAAAATGCATGTTGCTAATTGCTAACGATTAGTAAGGCACCATAAAACTTTCAGGAAAATATTATTTTGCCAGCTAACCACTCTTTTATACATTTTTCTACTGAGAAATGGTTTGATAGGAACAGCTATCATAGTAAGGAATTTCTATTTTTCTAGCCTCTCATTACACCCAATTATATACCTTTTGGTTATATCATTCTTACACAAAGGACACTGTGACGGCCCTTTCTTCTGGTTGAGAAGTTTCAGCATACAAAATCTATAAAATATAAAGAATAATTAAAGTTACTTTTTTTATAGAGAGAATATTCAAAGGGCAAATAGCCATGAAAAAAATAATCTCACAACATTAAGAACAATTTCAAAGTTAATGGCAGGTGAATTACAATCAATGACTTTCTTTGATTGTTTTTAGATATTGCTTAAGCAGAAAACTAAACTACCAAGCAATGATCTAAAACTAAACTTACATGCATATGGCCTACTGTTATGATCTAATAAAACTTACTAAAGAGTTAATGTGGCATATTTAATAATAATTATTTCATTCTGCATAATCAGACATAAATGGTAAATAGTTCAAGTAAAATTATTATAATTAGTTGAAAAATCTCGGTGCCTCACTATAAGACTACAGTAATCAAGACAGTGTGGTACTGGCAGAAGGACAGACATATACATGGATGGAACAGAATTGAGAGTACAGAGAAAATTTCTATTTCTTTCTCTTGCAGTCATTTTCTATTTCCAATCCCATCTACCTCCTCTTGCAAAAGTCATCTACCCTTTAAGGGGCTCCTTCCTCTTCTCACACAACTCTTAAACAAATATGGAAAGTTAAGCTTCTTTTTTTTCTGGACAAATTCTACTTTCTTCTCTTCATACCTTTGCTTATATTATTTTCTCTGTCTGTAATTTCCTTCTTCCACAAGCTCTCAAAGTAATGAATGTTTATACTATCTGTAATCTTTTAAATACTGGGGCTTTTACATTTTGCTTTACAAAAGTATCAAACTATGAAGAAACTGGTCCTATAGATAGTTTGAGACGCTTCCCTATAGAGGCCACAAAACTAAACATTCCTGAAGCAGAGAAAGGAAGCTGTGCTGCCCTGGCACCTAACAAGGAGAAGAACCTGAGGGATCAGAAGGAACCCGTTGGGAAGAGATCTAGATCAGCGGGGTGACATGACAAAGGGGTGAGAGACAGTGGAAATGGGCTCTAGGCCCTTGTTAGGGCAGATGAATGGGAAGAATTTGGAACATAGAAGAAGGAAGGAGCCACCAGCTGGCAGACTCAGAGGATATCCCTCCAAAGTGAACAGGTTTCCCTCAGCTCCAGCCAGCCCTCATTTTTTAGGTTATGGAAACACACTAAGAACTTGATAAAAATTATTGACTGCCTTTCCCCAAAATTGCAAATGAGAGTAGGATGGAAATATACTTTGCATCATATAACCTTTTCTGCTAGTTAAACTCATAATAAGGGACATGCTTTGTCAATTGAAAAAGAAAAAAAATACTTAAAAACAAGTTAATTGGCATTCAGAAAAAATCTCAACCATAGCTTAAAAAAAAAATCATAGTTTAATATCAGGAAAAGGAAAAAAAACAAACCTTGTTCTACCAAATTACCTATCAAACTTTTTCTGGAATTCTTTCCCCAAGAAACATTTTCATGCCAGGGAAAAAGGGAAACATATATAATACTTTCAACAATAAAAATTTTAAAAAGAAGCAACTCTCTTTACAGGGATTATGAAGCAGGCAAACGCTGAATCTTAGAGGGGGAAAGTGGGACACGCAGAATGTACAGAAAAGAGAAACTGGCGAGGTTGAAACATAATTTGTTTATTGCACAATTGCTTGCAATCTGCTTTCCCCATGGACACAAAAAACAAACAGCTGTTCAAAGTGAGTTGACTTCCCACTAAGTATGCCAATATTTTACCAGGAACTATGGCTAAAACCAACTCATGGTGACTTTCTGCGTATTCTCTGAGACAAAATGAAATCGAGTTCAATTTTTCTTTTTTACTTAAAGAAGCTAAAGTTTCTTTAAATTTGGGTGTTTCCTCTGTTACAAGGATAAGCACAAAAGGTAACAACGAAGCCACATAAAACATTCAAACTTACTTGCAAAATATGTGGTCACATTTTGTAGAAACAGGCTCTTGGAGTAACTCCAGACTAGAAGGGTAGGGAAAAAGAAAATAAATGCAGCTCAATAATTTATTTAAAAATAAATTTTTTTTCTTAGAAGTTCAACTTTAAATGGTTTTAACTAAGCCAAGGTAATGTTTTAAGTTCATTCAATAGATACTTATTAAATGTCTGCTGTTCCAGGAGCCAAAAATACAGCAAAGAATATGACCCTTACTCTCACTGAGCTTTCAGACATCAAAACAGAATATATATTACTTTTTTCAATATTCTACATGACCTATAGCACTTAAAAGATTAGTTGATATTACTTCATATCAATTACCAGTAGGTTTCACTGATACACTGTAAGAGCTATCAGTGGGTGCATATCCTGTATGTTAACTAGACTTTGAGCTCCACAAAGACAAAAACTTCTCGTATTTCTTTTGGATTCCCGAACAGCACTTCTTTTTGGCATGTGATTACCTTTTTAATTTCTTTATATGGAGAATTTCAAGCATTTACACAAATGAAATAGCAAAATGACCTCCATGTACCACCCAGTTTCAACAATTATCAACTCACAGCCAACAGTATTTTTGCCCATGGCTGACACCCACCCAAAGCCCAGATTATTTGAAAATAAATCTCAGCCATCATATAATTTCATCTATAAATATTTTGGAACATATTTTCAAAACAGAAAGACTTTTTTTTAGCATAACCATGAAACCACTATTACTCCTAAAAATAATTTCCTTAATATCACCTAATATATAATTAATGTTGTAATTTTCCTCAGTCTCATAAAAGTTTAATAATTAAATCTATGTAAATCAGGATCCAAACAAGATCCACACATTGTCTCTGGCTGATATATCTCAAATCTCTTTTATTCTATAGATTTTCCCTTTTCTCCCTACCCTCATCACTTATTTAAAAAACTAGGTCATTTGACGTGTAGAATTTCCCACATTCTGGATTTTGCTGATTGAACCCTATGTTGTGTGGTTTAACATGTTCCTCTGGTCTCTACAGGCTCAATCAAATTCAGGTTCCATTTTTTGGCAAAAACAATTTTTTGGCAAGAACACTTTTAGGTACTGTGTACTTCTATTACATCACTTCAAAAGGTACATGATGTTTGCTTTTGTGATTACTTTGTAAAAACAATGTAATAAGCTAACTAAAGAAAATAAAATAAATTTAGACAAATATTAAAAACTAGAGGCCTGGTGCACGAATTTGTGCACAGGTGGGGTCCCTTGGCCTGGCTGGTGATCGAGGCTGATCAGGGCCATCTTGCCCAGGCCCAATGGGGACCGGCCAGCCGGGGAGGGACTGCAGCAGGTTGGCCAACCAGCCAGGAAGGAATCATGGGAGGCTCCAGGGCGTGTCTGGCCCTCCCCCAGTCCCTATGCACCGGATTCCAGCAGCAAGCTAACTTACTGGTCTGAGCGTCTTTCCCTTGGTGGTCAGTGTGCATCATAGCAACTGTTCAAGCGGTCAACCGAATGGTCAACCTATCAGTTGGACACGTAGCATATTACAATTTTATTATATGGATTTGAGAAGAGCCCTGGTTGGTGTTCAGTAGTTAGAGTACCAACCCACAATTGATGTCTTTTACCCTGATTTCTCTCCCTCCCTTCCACTTTATATATAAAATCAATGGAGCCAGAGAGGTGTGGCTCAGTGGTTGAACATTGACCTATGAACCAGGAGGTCAGGGTTCAATTCCTGACCAGGGCACATGCCCAGGTTATGAGCTTGATCCCCAGTAGGAGGCGTGCAAGAGGCAGCAGAATGATGATTCTTTCTCATCATTGATGTTTCTCCTCTCTCTCTCCCTTCCTATCTCTGAAATCAATGAACATTAAAAACAACAATAAAACAGCCCTGGCTGGGTTGGCTCAGTGGATAGGGCATCGGCATGCAGACTAAAGGATACTGGGTTCGATTCCTGGTCAGGGCACCAAAAATAAAAACTAATAAAAACACCAGAAGAAACTTACAGAAAAAAGAAATTTATAGGGAACAGGGGTAATACAGGGAGAAGGCAATCAGTAAACATGACCCTTTGGGGGGAGAAGGGGGGGATAGCTTTCAAAGATCGGTCCTGGAAATTAAAAGTAAAAATGAAAAAATGAATAGAAATTTTGATAAATGAAGCAGAAAGTGTCAAAATAACCTGGTTGTCAAGAATTTGGTAATATAACTCTTACAATCATGGGGTTTCTGATGCAGTACAGGAAGAAAAGAAAAATACCACATTAAGTCAGAAGGCTGAGATTCTATTATCAGATTTCTTTAGGCTAAGCACCCTACCTGGGGACTGAAGGGTCCCGGGTTTGATTCCGGTCAAGGGCATGTACCTTGGTTGCGGGCATATCCCCAGTGGGGGGTGTGCAAGAGTGGGGGGGGGTGCTTCATGGGAAAGAACCCACTCTACCAGTGTCTTTAGGCAATTATGAGAATAAAATTAAAAGCTACTTGGGAAAATGTTTCCAACTGAGGTGACTTGTATAATGTTAGTACTATTATTGGGACTGAATGTGATTTAAAACAACAACCTGAAAAAAAAGAAAACAAAAACTCTGATTTGTTACCAAATCACTATTCCTCAGATAAACTAGATATCAAAAACATTCTCAGTAAAAGAAAGTAGATTTAGCTATACTAGATGGCTTTCCTTCTCACCATTGACTCAATTCTGAAATAATTATATTTCAGTATGGTAACTGTAAGCCAAACTATACAAACATACTCTAAACCACATGTGTCAAATACAAGGCCCACGGGCCAAATCCGTCCCTCCAGGCCTTGCAATGTGGCCCGCACCGCGCTGTCATCACTGCACTCCGCTGCGTTTCCATCACAATGACAGTTTATGACTGTTCAGTAAACCATTCGGCCCGCGATTTAGGCTGGATTTTAGATTTTGGCCCCTTCTCTGATTGAGTTCGACACCCCTACTCTAAACAAACTTTAAACATGCCGAGACCAGTTTGGCTCAATGGATAGAGCGTCGGCTTGGGGACTGAAGGGTCCCGGGTTCGATTCTGGTCAAGGGCATGTACCTTGGTTGCCGGCATATCCCCAGTGGGGGGTGTGCAAGAGGCAGCTGATTGATGACTCTCTCTCATCGATGTTTCTAACTCTCTCTCTCTCTCCCTTCCTCTCTGCACAAAATCAATAAAATATATTAAAAAAAAACAAAAACAAAAAACTTTGAACAGATGAAAACTCCAATATGGAAAAAGGTAGGAAAAGCTTGAAGAGGGAATAGGATGAAAAGACTAAAACTACCATGTCCTCTTCTAGGTCTTGATGATAGTAAATGTTTACTATGAAAGTGTCTAGATCCTGGCCGGTAGCTCAGTTGGTTGAGTGTTATCCCATACACCAAAAAGGTTGTGGGTTAGATTCCTGGTCAGGGCACATACCTAGGTTGCAGGTTTGACCCCCAGGCAGGGCACATACAGAAGACAACTGTGGGAACCATGCCAGGTCCCTGACTAGTCAAGGCCGATGGGAGCACAGAGGCCTTGTTATCAATACACCAGAATGGCCAAAGGCTGCTCTGGGCAGGAGCCTAACCGGGATATTCAGGACTCTGAGCGCGGGAATCCTAAACAGACCAAGATACCAGAAGCGGGTGTAAGGACACAAGGTACACTGTGCCCTTCGGTAGCCGATATGATTGGTGTAACTATTGGCAAAAAGCCTTCTTTATCTAAATACTATAAAAGTAGGTTAATGACTAGTCTAGTCAGCTAAGGTGAGAGTGAGAAGTCTGTTGGAGTATGGAGATAGAACAGCCAGGATGAAGTGTGTGAAGTCTGCTAGAGAGAGCAAGAGAGAGCAGCTGGGCAGGAGAGCCAGGAGAAGCTGCTGAGCCGGGCAGCTCAGACACCACTATGATGAGAGGCGGTGAGTCTAGGAGGCAGCATGTGGCAGCTCAGATAATAGCTGTGGGTTCAGAGACTGATGCTGCTTCATGGGAAAGACTTATGTTCTCCAGCCGGTGTCCGGCTACATACCTGGATGAACTTTGCTGTGAGGACTGTTCTTGTCTGATGGCTATATGGCCACTGGTTTCAGCAATAAAGATTCATTCTTTTTTTTTTTTAATATATATATGTATGTATATATATATATATTTTTTTTTTAATTGATTTTTTTACAGAGAGGAAAGGAGAGGGATAGAGAGCTAGAAACATCGATGAGAGAGAAACATTAACCAGCTGCCTCTTGCACACCCCCTATCGGGGATGTGCCCGCAACCACTGTACATGCCCTTGACCAGAATCGAACCTGGGACCCTTCAGTCCGCAGGCCGATGCTCTATCCACTAAGCCAAACCGGTTTCGGCAAGATTCATTCTTATATACCCCCAACCTCTCATGGCTTCTCCATCTGAGACTCAGCGTCCTAGGAGGTCCAGCCCCAGACAGAGGGGCTCGGACCCAACACCTCTTACTAGTGAGCAGAGGATAAAGAGGAACTTGGACTAAGCTCCCATCAGTTAGCACAGTGGGCAGGGCTTGAAGAAGAGCCAGCCCTGGCATAGTCAGATGGGAGACTTTGGAAGAGTATGAACTCAAAGCCACTCAGAGCGCCAGGGCTCCTGCTGCGTGCTCTGACAACAACCAATCGATGTTTCTCTCTCCCTCCCTCCCCCTTCCTCCTAAAATTAATGAAAAAATATCCTCAGGTGAGAGTTTTAAAAAAATAAAGTGCTCAAATATTAAAGCACTTTTTAAACCAGTCAATTCTTTAGGCCTAACTACACGCCTAACATTTTGAGGTTCCAAAATAGGTATGTGATTAGAAGCAGCAGCTAGATTAAGTTCCAAAAATAACAACCACCCACCAGAATACACATTTAAAAACTCTTTAGAAAATCAAGAATTTTATATAGTCAGATGTAAAAAGTTAGAAAGAACTACCAATTATCAGATATAAATGCCAAAAGTGACTTAGAGGCTAAAAGAAGGAATTTTAGCTCTCGAGGCCTAAATAATGCCAGAAACCTACTTTACAGCTACCATAAGTAACACTGTTTCCAGTCACAGTCAGAAACTATTAAGACATAACAGCAAACTGTACTGTTCTGGGCACTGAAAAGAAAAAAAGTGAGGTAGTTATTATTCCCTTCCTAGAATTTCCCATTTAAATGCATTAAACAATGACCAGGCTTCACAATTTTAGTTAAAAAACCTAAGTGTATTTTAATAGAAAACCGATTTAAAAAATAGATCAGCTGTAAAATATACAGTATTTGACCAAAATGAAAATTTAGCATTAACTTTCTCATCTTACATCTTTCATTTTTATGTATCTGAGGTTTTTTAATTGCTAGTTTAATTTTCTGTGGAAATATAAAATAAATGGACCCAAGTGCCACACTATTGAGGACTTTTTAATCACTCTTTGTAATGACGAGTTTTATGACTTTCCAAAACCAATTTCTCCCCAATTGCCATTTCCTGCTTATCTGACTCTTAATTTGGCTGTAAGTCTCAGTTAGCTCTTGTTTTTGTTTGGCTGAAATGTTGAAGGGTAAGGGAAGAGTAGAGTTACTAATAAATCTTGTATCTCTCTGAAAATAAAACTTGCATTTCCTTTAGTCTTATTTGACTCCAAATATAATAAATAACTTTCATGAAGCACAAGAGGCATTTTACTTAAATTTACTCTCCTTTGTTCAAGATAAGGAGCAATAGGTGCAGCTTTCCTACTTATTTACTTTAAATATATATTTGTATTGATTTCAGAGAGTAAGGGAGAGACAGAGAGAAATATAAACATCAATGGTGAGAGAGAATCATTAATTAGCTGCCTTCTGCATGCCCCACACTGGAGATCGAGCCCACAATGCAGGCATGTGCCCTGACTGGGAATCAAACCGTGACCTCCTGGATCATAGGTCAATGCTCAACCACTGAGCCACAACAGCCAGGCTAATAACCTAATCTTAACAGACATTATTTTTTCTCCTTACTATGTAAGGCCAAGTCTATTAATCTGCATAGGACATAATCATATAATATAAGGAAAAATCTCAAATTAATAAATTGACTTACCAGATTGGACACTCTAAGATTTTCTGCATAGCATGAAGGACATTTTGAACTTCTTCAACTCGATCCACACATAAATCCATCTCTCCCTGTTACAATGAACTTTAACACATAAACATACCTGGTTATTTGTCTATATGTATATCTATCTATATACTAGAGGCCTCATGCACTGGGCCTGGCTTGTGCCCTCTCACAATCTGAGACCCCTCGGGGGATGTCAGAGAGCTGGTTTCAGCCAGATCCCACCAATGCACCACCGGGCCTCTGGTTTTTAAATAAGAGAAATTTAAGATCGGAGTGCTTTAGAATTATGCCAACCATAAAACTAATAACAAAAGCCTTACTTTTTAACATTCTAAGTTTTTCACTGTAATTCAGATCACTTTAAGTTCCTTATTTTTTCACATATAGCCTCCAACCATTTCCTTCCGCTTCCCTTTGGCCTCTTCCTTTCTCCAAGCTAGGGAAAGCCACACTGGGGTGACTGGATGCGTGGTGGTAGCCTCAAATTTCTCCAATCATCCTGGCTGTTTTCTTTTACTTGCATAAAACCATAATCAACACAAAGAAAACCAACACCAACCAAGGCTCCCCCCCTCTGCCTTCCCCAGTGTTTCCCACTGGCTTGCACCCAACTCAGGAGCCTCGGGCACATCCAATGCCGGCAGCCTCTGTGATTAGCAATGCCCCTCCCCTTTCCTCTAGTCTCCGCTCGGAAACGTGTATATATACGAATACAGAGCTTCAGGGCTCTCCCTCCCACAAAATCCTGTCTCCTCCTCTTCCCAGACACATGTGTGCCCCTATTCTTCATCAGGGTCCCCTTCTCACTTAGATCACCTCCTCTTTCACATTCCAGTGTTGTCCTCAAAACACATTCCAGCTATCATCTGGATTCCCCTTCGGACACACCCCTTCCTTATTTTCGGTGCCTCCCCCACCCCGAGGCCCACAAAGTGGACCCCTCCCCACGATTATCCCATTTTCAACTTCTTAGGCTTCTCAGGTTCCACCTTCCCGCTAGCCCTGGCCAGATAACACTCCCATTGCCGTCCTTCAAGAGTTCCCTCCCCCACTCTCGCACGCCTGTTTCTAGCCAGTCCGCCCGAGCACCCCCTGGGCCCACTCCCTTCCCCAAAGTCCTCTCACCTCTACTCAGATCAAAGACTCCAGGCTTTCCCGGCCCACGAACCCAGTTGTCTGAAAAAGCAACCCCCCTCGGTGGAGACTGCTCAGTCAGCTTAAGGCGCGCAGTCGCAGATTCAATTTATCCCTAACTCCCGCGCTTTTCCGTTGCCACGGAAACCGGCCGCTGCGGCTGAGCGAGAGCCTCTCAGAACACGGGATCGAAACACGTGTGCGGAAGGGCGGAGCTGAAAGAGCCAAGAGTCCTTTAGGGCCTTCCCATTGGTCAGCCAGTCTTTCCCTGTGATGTCATCAGTAAGAGACGGAAGAGAAGGAATTCTCCCGGAGTTTTCCTTTAAGCGACCGCCCTCTCACCTCTGCGCTTCCAGAGGCGGCTTATTATTACGTCACAGAGGTTGCGGTCCCGGGGTCAGACTCGCTGAGGCCCGAACGGAACGCAAGGCAGTGCCTACACACTCGCAAGGAGAGGTCTCGTTACCTCCCCCTTCCCGCCGCAATGGAAGTCTCCAGTTTAGGTAAATAAAAGGATTGTAGGCACACACAAAAAACTACGACTTCCAGCATGCATTGCGGGCCCAAAGACCTTCGCCACGGTGTTCCTTGGAAACTGTAGTCCTATGGAGAGGAGCTTCCGACCCTGGAAGCGGGCGCGATTCTCAGGGCAGCCCAGGTAATAGAGTGAAGAGCTTCGCACACTTCTCACGTCCACAGATATGGATTGGCATGTTATGTGTTCACATCTTAAGAGAAGAGAATAAGCTGAAGAACCCACAAGTCCTAGGAAGACTACAATTCCCATCCAGCCCCTCGCATCTCGAGTAAGTAGTCCTTTAGGGCAGTGACCTAAGGGAACGCTGTGGGCGCAGAATTTGCCAGGGAAGGGGACTGCGGTCCCAGCACACGGCTGCGCACTCGTAGTTCCGCCCCTCATCCCCAGTGTTTATTATTGTTGTGCGGTTCAGGCAGCTCTTGCCCAACCCCCGCAGTCGCGCCCTCGACCAATCAATAGGGTGATAGTGTTGAGCGACAAGGAGGAAGAGCCAATCATCTTGCCGGAAACTCAGAAACTGGGGACTGGCCTCTGTCTCTATCCGCCATGTTAAGATTCACCCCGCAGGAGTAGCAGCAACGCTGGCAGCGAACGGTCCCTGCACTGGCCTTTGGCAGGCGCCCCCCGGGGGCGGGAAGCTGGTAAGGAAGCGGCTGCGATTGCCTGGGGCTGGGGGTCTCGTCGCACTGAGAGGACTTGGGGAAGTTCAAGGGAGGAGTCCTGTAGAGAAGTGGGGCGACTTTTTCCCATGTCCGGGGGCAGCGGTTCTCTTCAGTGACCGGAGGGGAGAGCCGTTCGTGTTCTGAGGGGCCGAGGGGGGTCGGATACCGCCGGTGGGAGGGAGGGTCCGTGGCTGAGAACGGCCGGCTTTTGCGGATGGAAGGCCGAGACTCCCCGGCACAAATGGGGCCTGGATGCAGAAAAACGAGCGAGTCCTGGAGTGGAGGGGTGAGGGGAGGGTGACAGTGTTTGGGGGACATGGAATGCTAGGAAAGGATAACTGGAAGACTAAAATGAAGTCCGCAAGGAAAGAGAAAAAAAACAACAACAATACAGAGCCTCCTTAATCCCATCCCTTCCTTTTAAGAACCTCAGAAGTCTCCTTGGTCAGGGAACTGTGATATTAGAAAGGTGCCTTTTTTTTTTTTAATTATTATTATTTTGTCAAACACCCAGCATTCTAGGTCCAAACACTTAAGTTTTCCAGGTCACACATTTTAATGTCCGGGATCTCTGTACAAGCCTCTGGCGGACACAGTCATCCAAGCTCAGGTTCCCAGGCCTGTTTTCATTAAAGAGGTTTTTGGTATCCTGAGAAAAATTCGGCATAGGGGAAAAGCTGACTTGTGCCAAGCAAAGGTGAGTCAGTGGCATGAAGTTGCGATGCCAGTTAATTAAAGTTGAAGGCCTCGGCCCCAGCTCCCTGACTCTACTGGCTTAAACTGACTGCAAGGACAGACGGGTCTGACCCTAGCCATAGCTTTGGTGTTTTCCACAAGTTCAAGACGAATGCTCTTGCTAAAAGAATTTTTACATATAAGCCAAACGGAAATAGGCAGTTCTTGACGAAGAGCTGGATTTGATCCAGCTAAGCTAGCCTCCCCCACTTCCTGTTTTCTCGTCAGCCGCTCAGCTGGAGGAGCTCCAAAGTATCTAAACTAATATTTCCAATTGTGTAATTTGAGGAAAGGGGGAGGGGGAGGGAAGATTAGTGTCCTCTAGAGGGACTCTGAAAAGTGTGGCAGTGTGTTTCTCCGAAGTTGAAAAGTCAGACTGTTTCAGAGTCCCCCACTTTTGGCAGACTGAATCACTTCATTTCCCTATTTCCCCCCCCCCCCCCCCAAGATTCTGAGGTGTTGACAGGAATTCTTTTCAAGTTTTAAGGACCTCCAAAATTGCATTCCATATGACTAGATGTCAGCAGAGTTGGTAGAAACCAGTATTATTTTGCTGATGAGCTTGACTCTAGGTGGAGACAAAGAATTTTTTTAAGTGGGGTATAATTGTTTTTGGATTTTAAAAAAAATTCTTAATCAAACCTTCAAGGTCCTTTTTAATGACCTTGTATTGTTTCACCGGACAGTACATTCTACTGTGGAAAACAGGACTATTTTAGATTCTAAAAATTGATTTATCATAATTTTACATTTGAATAAAATTTTCAAAGAACTTGCACACACATTTTTATTTGGTTCTTATAACATTGTGAGGTTGTCAAAGCAGAGATATTAGGCCTATTTTACAGATTAAGAAATTGAAGCTCAGTGGTTAAATAACTTGTTCACAGTTGCATGACTAGTAATATGTCTGGAACCCAATCTTGTTCACGTATCTTCTGTGCCTGGCTTTTTGTAGATGCTTTATTAAAGTCATAAAAACAAATCAACCTAACAACTCATCAGTAAACAAAATCCTTAAGTAAAACCAGGCCCTACCAGGGTAGCTTCGTTTGTTAGAGCATTGGCCCCAAGGCTTTGGCTTCAAACCTGGGTCAGGGCACATACAAGAATCAGCCAATGAATGCATATGCATAAGTAAATGAAAAAATAGATCTCTCTTCCCTCTTTCCATGCTCTTTCTCTAAAATCAATCAATAAATAAAAGTTTTTTTAATCAAGTAAAAACAAACAACTTTATCAGAATAGACATTCCTTTAAGGAATTGTTAACTTAGGCATGATAATACCATGTTTCCCCGAAAATAAGACAGCCTCCGAAAATAAGACCTAGCGCAACTTTGGAGAAAAAATTAACCCTTTGCACTCGGATGTCCCCTCTCAGGGGGGACATTGCAGTTTATTAGTGATTACGGGGAATTGAGTTAATTCAACGCACGTGTCCGCCGCAAAGTAGCGTCAAGTAGCTGGTAGCCAATGTCCAGAATGGTTCAGAGTGCAAAGGGTTAATATAAGGCACTGTCTTATTTTCGGGGAAACGGTAGTATTATGGTTGTTTTTTAAATTTTTTTAGGGGTACATAATTATTTTATAGATAAAATGATGGCCCTCGCTGGTTTGGCTCAGTGGATAGAGCATCAGCCTGTGGACTGGAAGATCCTGGGTTCAATTCCAGTCATGGACACATGCCCAGGTTGCAGGCTCAATCCCCAGTGGGGGACTTGCAGGAGACAGCTAATCAATGATTCTCATCATTGACGTTTCTGTCCCTTCTTCTCTGAAATCAATTAAAAAAATTTTTTTTAATAAATGATGGCTGTCTGTCAGTGTCAGAATAACCCAATAAGTAAAGGGTATTGCTGTAAAAAGATGAGTTCCTGAGTTGATGTTAATTATGGAAGATAGCTGTTGAGCCCATAGGGTTCATTAAATATTAATCTTTTTCTTTATAATATGTTTATTCGTTTTTAGAGAGAGGAAGGGAGAGGGATAAAAAGATAGAAACATTGATGAGAAAGAAACATCCATTGGCTGCTTCTTGCACACCCCCTTCTGGGGATGGAGTCTGCAACCCAGGCTTGTGCCTCCAGCAGGAATCAAACTGATGACCTCTTGGTTCATGGGTTGGGGATGCTCAACCACTGAGCTATACCATCTGGGCAATCTTTTTCTTTTTTTTAAATATTTTTATTTCAGAGAGGGAGCGAGATGGAGAGAGATAGAAATATCAATGATGGAATAATTGATTGGCTGCTTCCTGTCCTCCCCCACTTTGGGGATCGATCCTGCATGTATCCATGACCGGAATCTAACCTGAGACCCTTTAGTCCCCAGGCCAATGCTCTATCCACTGACCCAAACCAGCTAGGGCTCTCTTTTTTATAGGTTTAAATTTCCCCATAATTTTTTGAAAAAAGTAGATTGCTATCACTTATTGGCCTTTAGACTAAAGGCAAGTGTAAAAAATAAATTGCCATAGTTTGCTTAAAACATTGACTATAGTCAGTCCACATTGAAGGGTTTGGGGATAGTAGGAGTATAGTTGAAGTGAGGGTAACTGGAATTGATCATTGTTAATTAGAAGTGTATGTTTGGAATTTTCTGTAAAAGAGACTATTAAAAAGCAGGTGAACTTGAATGAAGGGTGTTGAATGCTACCTCAGTGTAGTTTCTTGGCTAGTGTTTTGGCCTCTAAGTTGTTAAAATTGATGTAATAGAGAAATGGGTTGCTCAATTTAGAAAAAGATTTCCAAGAAAAGTATAGGATGTTGTTTTCAAGTTATAAAAATATACTACATAATAAAAGGGGCCCTAACTGGTTTGGCTTAGTTAATAGAGCATCACCCTGCAGACTGAAGGGTCCCAGATTTAATTCCGGTCAAGGGCATGTACCTTGGTTGCAGACACAACCCCAGTAGGAGGTGTGCAGGAGGCAGCTGATTGGTGTTTCTCTCTCATCAATCTTTCTAACTTTCTACCCTTATCTCTTCCTCTCTGTAAAAGATCAGTAAAACATATTAAAAGGGTAACCTGCAAATCAACCGAATGGTGGAACATCTGGTCTCTATGACGTGCACTGACCACCAGGGGGCCGATGCTCAATGCGGGAGCTGTCCCCTGGTGGTCAGTGCGCTGCTCAGCCACAAGCTGGGCTGACAGCCGGAGAGTGCCACCGCAGTGCAACCTGGCACAGCTCCGCCTTCACAGCAGCCCTCAGGATGTCCCGCTGCGGTTAGGCCCTTTCCTCCCTGCTGCCCACCCTCCAGGCTGAGGGCCACCCCTCCCCCACCCCAAGTGTACAAATGTCATGCACTGGACCTCTAGAAACATATAAATTTCTGGCAGTAGGGACCT